TGCCTAAGGTGAGGCCCCGGCCTCGCCCAGCCCCTCCCTGGCATGTGCCCCCCAGGACCCTTCAGCTGCCCTTGAACCCCCATCCTCCCCCGCCCCCCGCCCCGCCCATAGCTGGGACCCTGCACCCTGCTGCATCCTTGCTGGGTCCCCAGAGTAGGACCAACACACAGTGGGTGTGACTAGAGCAGCCCCAGGGTGAGAGCCTCCTGAAGCAGGAACAGGGTCCTAGGGACCCACATTCCCAGCTCCTCACAGCACCCCCTCTCCCTCCTGTGACTTACCAGTCCCAGAGCAGGGCCAGGCTCAGGAGACACAGGCCCAGGCAGATCCACCCTCCATAGAACCGGCTGGCTGCCACCCAGAGTGCTGTGATGGAGGGCGCACAGGCAGCCCTGGGAGGCAGAAGAGGTGCCTGGCATCCAGGAGGGCTTTCTGGAAGAGGAGACAACTGTGTCGATGAAGCAATGGCTCTGTGCCCGGCACCTGGTGAAGGCCCCTGAGGTATGGGGAGAGCGAGGCTCAGGGATGCAACGGGAGGCCAGGTCCCTCTTGGGCTTCTCAAGGCCCTTAGGACAACACCCAGCCTCCCCCTGCCCACCCCAGGAGGCCACTGTTTTGGACGCAGCTCCTGTGCGAGGCCCTGGGCTGCCCAGGCTTAAAACCAAAATGGAGTCACTCACGCTAAAGCGCCATATTCCTGAGCTGGAATTAAGCTGTTTACATGATCTTCCCAGAATTCAGGATCAGTGGCCAAGTTGTCTGAACAGGAGGCCAAAGAGGCACCACAACGAAGTCCCTTCTGCTTTAATTCTTTCGCAAAAAAGGTTATCAAGGTCTGGGGTGCAGCTCAGGGGTGGCGGGGTTCCCTACATGCCCAGGGCCCTGGGGAAAGGAAGGTGAAGCCAGATTTAAAATTAGGTAGTCAGTGTAGTTAGGTAAATTGGGTCTAATATCGAGTGAAATCTAAAATGGAGGCCATGCTGAGAATGATTCCGGGAAATGCAGGACAACTCATGGAATGTTAATGAAGTCCCAGAAAGGCCCTAGGCCAAAGTCCACCCCAAAGAAATGTTAATGGAACCCAGGAAACAGCCCCCAACAGATTTGGAGATAGCCCATCCCAGAGAAGTGATAAGCCCATCCCAAAAAGTGATAAGTAAGTCCTTCCTGCCCGTTTGGCCCACCTGTGTCCTAACCCTTCCCCCTTGCATTCCATCACCAAACCTATAAAAAGGGGAGACAACCGCACTTCCATGGATTCCACCTCTTGGGTCCCCTTCTTCCTCCGGGAGAAGTCTTTTCTGCTGTCCTTTAATAAACTTCTAATTTCTACTCTGACCTTGCCTCGGCGTGCTCTCTGGTGTTATTCTTCAACATCGGGGAAGCAAGGACTCCTCACCGGCCAACAGCGGTAACAAAGGGAGGGAGGGAGAGAGGGAGGAAAGGAATAGGAGGGAGAAGATGATACCCCAAAGCTTTGTCAGGCTGCGCTGGAACGCCCGTCCAGGGTCACGTCCCTCTAACTGCCACATGGGGTGAGTGTGTCCCCAAGGGGTATATGCTGCAAGTTTGGTCCTCAGTGTGGTGGCGTGGAGGGGGACCCTTGGAAGAGATTAATGCAGTTCTTTTGGGGTCCTGGTTAGTTCCCCCCAAGAGGGGTTTGTTGTAAGAAGAGAGAGCGTCTCCCCACCGACCCCTCCCTCTCACGCGGATTTCCACCATAGTGTGTCCGCCATGTTGTGACGGGGCCAGAAGCCTCCACCAGAGCCCAACAGATGGGGCCTCCTGATCTTGGACTTTCAGCTCCTGAAATTGTGAACGGAACAAATCTCTTTACCAAGCACCTAATGTCAGTATCCATCATAGAAAAACAAATCTTGTTCCTCCCCCGGGGCCAGGAGGGGCTCTCTCTGAAGTTCCTGTGTTAGTCCATTTTGTGTGGCTATGACAAAAGACCTGAGATAATCCACACAGTAAGACAGAAGCTTAATTTGGGCTCATGGTTTCAGAGGGTTCAGTCCATAACTGCTTGGTCCCCTTGCTTTGGGCCTGTGGCAGAAGGTCCATGGTGGCAGAAGCACATGGTGGAGGAGGCCAGTTCACTTCCTGGCAGCTGGGAAGCAGGAGAGGAAGAGGAGGGGCCAGGTCCCTGGAGGGCACACCCCATGACCTCACTTCCTCCCCTGAGGCCCCACCCCTAAAGGCTCCACCACCTCCCAGTGGTGCCTCAGGCTGGCGATAAAGCCTTTTTAACTCAAGGGCTTTGGAGGACATTTCTGATCGAAAAACAGAGCCGTTTCCAGCCGAGGAAGGTCTTCCAAAAGAAATGCCATTGTTTTGAACCTTTTCCCTAAAATCCATTAACCAGGAAAGATGAAGCTCCGATGGCAGGACAGAAGGCTGGGACATGTCACCACACCCAGACAGGCATTGTCACAGCCTGTCTTCTCTTCAGTTTCCAAAGAGAATCATTTACAAACTGGAATGTGTTCTTTGGACCTGTTCAATTCCCATAAAAATCACTTCTTACCCCTCTGAAATTGCCCACAATGTTAGTCAACTTTTTGTAACTGTAACAAAATGCCTGAGGGACTCAATTTTTAAAGAGGAAAGGTTTATTTTGGTTCAGAGTTTTGAAGGTTTCAGTCCATGGTCAGCTGGATGTTGCTTTGGGCCTGTGGCAGGGCAAAGCTGCACGCCTCATGGCCAGGATGCTAGAGAGAGGAAGGCCTAGGGTCCCATAGTCCCCTGCAAGGGCACCCCCAGTGACCTAAGACCTCTCCCCGGCACATCTCCCAAGGACACCGAGCTGGAGACAGATCTTTGAACAATTGGGTCTTTGGGAACATTCCAGGTCCACCACTAGCAGCCCATGACCCCTCCTCTGTGCAGAAGATGTCTAATCGTCAAACCTCTGGCTCTTCTTTGAGGGCCACAGTTTACAGTGCTCTGTGCTCGTGGGCTTGTTAACACCTTGTTTTTCTCTCTCTTCATTTCATTTATTTATTTCTGGGCAGTACTAGGGATCAAACCAGGCCTCACCGCTGAGCCACTTCCCAGCCCTTTTCAAGTTTTTTGATGGTGAGACAGGGTCTCACTAAGTTGCTCAGGGCCTCGCTAAGGGCTGAACTTGGCCTTGAACTTGGATCTTCCTGCCTCAGCCTCCGAGTCATATCATATCTTAATAAATTTGTGTGCCTCCCCCGGCCCCCCCCCCCCGTCTTTTTCTGATCAATCTTTCAATTCAGTTCAGTGAATTTTCAAGGATGTTGGGGAGTCTCTCTTACCCCTAGAGCACCTCGTGTGCCACCCAGACACACCTCAGTGTTTGAGATGGGGTCTTGCTAAGTGGCCCAGACTGGCCTTGAACTCCTGGGCTCAAGTGACCCTCCTATGGGTGGTGCCACCACTGCACTGGCCTGGGCCACCCCTAGGCCTGTCTGAGAAACTGCAAAACAAGAGTAGCTTGGAAAAGCTGCCCTTTCGGGGGCTGGGGATGTGGCTCAAGCTGTAGCGCGCTCGCCTGGCATGCGTGCGCCCCGGGTTCTGCCCTTTCGTACAGGACACTGGCATCTGTAAAGGACGCTGTCCTTGTGACCGGTCCCTGGGTGAGCGCTCCTGCAAGTCATCCTGCTTTTTTGCTATAGTTTCTTTCTTCCGTTTTTGTGGTGCTGGGGATGGATCCGGGGCTTCACGCGTACACACGTGCTGTCGCTGAGCCCCTGTGGTTTGGGTCTTAAGGGTCCCCAAAGAGCCCTGTGTTAAAGGTTTGGTTCTCAGCATGATGCTCCTGGACGGTGGAGAGAGCTTTCCAAGGTGTGGCCCAGGCCAGCGCAGTGGTGGCACCACCTACAGTCCCAACTACTTGGGAGGCTGAGGCAGGAGGCTCACTTGAGCCCAGGAGTTCAAGGCCGGTCTGGGCAACATAACCCCATCTCAAAAAATAAGCAAACAAAAAAGACTCTGGGTTCTCAGTGGCTCCAAGGCTTCCCTCTCCCATGGGCCTCATGTTCCCCCAAATGCTTTCCTGACTACTAAAGCCCCACCACACGGTGATTCTTGAGACAGCCATGGAGCTGAGGTGGGCGGGTCTTCATCCCGGCCAAGGTCAGACATGAGCGAGGAAAGATCCTGTTGTGTTCTGCAAACTGCTCAGCTCTGGAGAGTCTGGCCTGGCTCATGCCCCAGACCCCTCTTCTCCACAGCTGTGGCAAGAAGACAGGGGGCTTCCACTGGTGGGGCCCGAGTTTCCTTGTCTGTACAAGGTGGCCATGCCACCCACTGTTGGGGGTTGTACATGTACAGGTTGACACAGATCATGGTTCTAATTCTAGCACCTGCTCCCCCTTGCTGTGTGACCATGACACAGTTCCTCAACCACTCTATGCATTATAACAAAGGCCACTGGTTTTTGTTTTTGCCATACTGGGCATCAAACCCGGGGCCTCACGCATGCTAGGTGAGTGCTTTACCGCTGAGACACACCCCTGACCCCAAGGACACAATACCTTTATTCATTTATTTTTATGTGGTGCTGAGGATCAAACCCAGGGTCTTGCACATTTGAGGCAAGTGCTCTACCACTGAGCCACAACCCCAGCCTGTCACCTGGATTTGAGGACAGAGAACAGGCAATAAGAAGTCCTCTCTTCTGGGGTACAGTAGCGGCAGCTACTCAGGAGGCTGAGGCGGGAGGATCTCAAGTTTGAGGCCAGCCTCAGCAACTTAGCAAGATCCTGTCTCAAGATAAAAAATAAGAGGGGCTGGGGACGTGGCTTGGTGACAAAGCACCCCTGGGTTCAGTCCTCAGTAGCAAAAACACCACAAAATCCCTCTTCTCATTCATTCAACACCCTCTTAACAGCTGCCACGAGCCGAGTACCACGTCACCCACCCAGGATGGAAAACCTAGTGAGAGGCGTCCCCTCTGCCCACTGACACCCCAGGCTGCAGACGACCCCCACGGCTGCCAGCCTCACACAAGGACACACAGAAAATGACACATTTCAACTATTTTATTTGCTTCTGGGGTGTCAAGTTTGGAGTCTCCCAGAGCCCAGCAGACCCTTCTCTGCTCCAGGGGACCCCGGACACGGAACGGGGTCTCAGACAAGGCACTGGCAGGCACTCAGGTGGGGGAGAAGCCACACTGAGGACGGAGGGGCGGGGCCCTCCCCGGGGGACAGAAAACAGTCACTTTCAGCCAGAACAACTATTTCCTAGAAATTGAGAACAAAATGAAAACCTGAGATTTGGGTGGGCCCCAGAACAAGCCAGGCAGAAAGGGGGCCCCTTCCTAAGGCCCAGGTGTGGCCTCTCCCCAGGGGCCAGGACAGGACGGGGACGCCACAGGCCGTGAGGAACCGAGAGCCGGGGGACTTCAAGACAAAACCCTGGCGCGGGCCAACCTGGGTCCAGGTGGAGGGGGCCATGGCCACTGCCAGCACCAGGACCTGTCCCCTTCTCTGTGCCCCGCGAGCACGGGAGCAGGGCAGGCACTTCTGTGTGTCGCTGGGCAACAGGAGAAAGGTCAGGGGAGGGGGGGAGGGGGAGAGGACAGGAGGGGGCTGGGCTGCGCCTCCAAGGTCCTCAGATGGCCCAGACAGTGTGTGACAACCAGCCCAGACACAGGCCACCGGGATGGGGACGTCTGGGCGAGGGCATTCAGCACCCCCCAGGCCTGAGCCCTGCAGACAGGGACATCGACCAGGCCTGCCCCCAGGAGCCTCGTGCCGAGGGTCTTGGGGGGTCCCCAACTTCCCCACGGCAAACACGCTCCCCCCCCCAAGCCCCCGCAGGCGGCAGTGAGGATTTGCACCTGGAGAAGGAGACAAAGCCCTTTCACTGTCCCTGGCCACTGGTGGCGCCCGAGTCTGTCTGTGAGGCCATTGGTGCCCAAGGCCGCCTCCGGAGGCTGCCCCGAAGTCTGGGGCAGAGGCTGAGGCCACAGAGAAGAAAGGAGCTTTGTCCCGACTTCTGGGTGCAGACGCTGTGAGGGGGCGGGGAGGTCAAAGGTCAACAGTCTAGACAGGCTGCCAGGAGAGGGGGTGTGGGGCTGGATCTCCTGCAGCCCCTCCAGCCCTGGCCCCCAGGGTGGGGCGCAGGCGCCAGAGCCACACACCAGGTGGCCCTGCTCCTAGGACAAACAGCCCCCCTGCCTCGGAGCAGACCCTGGCTGTTCTAGACGTTTCCACGCCAGCAAAGAATAGAGCAGGGGATTTCCCTTCGCTGAAACTATTGCAATGTGACATTTTCCCTTTCTTTTCTTTTTTTTGGTCCTGGAGATTGAACCCGGTGGCCTTAACCACTGAGCCACATCCCCAGCCCTTTTTGAGACAGGGTCTTGCCAAGTTGCTAAGGGCCTCACTAAGCTGCTGAGGCCAGCCTTGAACTTGTGATCCTCCTGCCTCAGCTTCCTGAGTTACTGGAATCACAAGCACGTGCCTCCCCGTGCCTGGCACAACATGACATTTTCTTTAAAAATCTGGCACTGACTGGGAATTCATGACTCAGCCCTCCTTCCCCTGGCCAGCCCTGCATGAGTGGCCTCGGGGACCTTGTGTGCTCCAGTCCTTGACCCGGCAGGTCGCCAGGTGTCACCAGGTGACCCCAAGCTCAGTCCACCAGTCAGACTTCCCCTTGCCCTTCTCCCCTCCCACCCCCCAGTCTCACTTCCTTCTCGGGCTACAGCCCTGCACACGCCACCCACCTCTGCCCCAGGCCCCCAGGGCTGCAGGAGACACAGAGGTCACAGGCTGTGGCATCTGTGAAAAAGGAGCCATCATCAGGTCCATGCCTGCTCACGTCCCCTCCTCAGCACCCCAGGGGCTCCCCGGCTGCTTCCCACAGACCTGCCCAGCGTCACCTCCCTCCTCCCCCAGCTGCCCGCCACGTCCCCAGCCTGACTCTCCACCATGAACACCGTCGTCGCCTTCCCCACCTCACACCGACCGTCTGCCAGCTCCCTGGGTCTGAAGATGAGGGGGGACAGGGAGACTCGGTCCTCCCTTCTCACACAGGGACATTTTTAGGCCAAGACCCACCAACACAGACAGACAGACAGACAGACAGACCATGGAGCGAGCGATGAGTTCCACCCAACAGAAACGTCACAAAACGTCAACCCCTGAGGAAATAAAAGCTGGCAGGACGTGAGTGACGGGTTTAATGGCATCTGATGACGTGAGAGCCGCCCTGCGCTGTGCATGGCAGGGGCAGCTCCTGAGGAAGGCAGGAGAGCGACGTGCGGGACGTCACACCTCTGAGGGGCGGAGCCACACAGGACCAGGAACACAGGGAGGGACGGGGACCAGACATGGAAACCTCTGGGCAGGTGCCCAGAGAGCCCAGGACGGCCCCTCCCGCCCCGTCACGCTGGGGCCTCTGGGGGACAGAGATGGCCCCACGGACGGAGCCTGGGGTCGGTCTGAATGAGATCCCGGGGGATCCCGGGGCCCCACGTCCCGAGAGCCCCATGTTCTTCTGCCACAGAAGCCGGCCGAGCACGTGGCTCTCCAGAGACCCCGTGCTCAGGCTGGGGTCTTGGGGGACAGTGCCCAACAGAGCAAGGGCTGGCATGGAGGTGGCAGGGTCCCAATCACCTTAACCTGCCAGCCACAGTCCAGCCCGCTGCCCAGAGCAGAGCCGGGTCACACAACCATGCTGCTGGCCTCCCAGGGAGAGCCAGGGCTCAGGACACTGTGGCCAAGACCACGCCAGGTCCCAGAGGACCACCGCCAGGTCCCAGATGGCCACACGACCATGCGGCAGGTCCGCGAGGCCCCACCGACCTGGGAACGGGAGGGAAGGGGAAGGAAGTCAGAAGGCCCACCCAGCCACCTGGGGCTGGAGAACACCCGGCGGGACACAAGCAGGACTCATCCAGGGACAGGGTCCAGCGCGCGCCCTCCCAGAGCAACAGGGAAACCTCGTCCCCAGAGAAAAGCCGATGGTTCCCCAGACGCCGTCCTCCTCCCTTGGTGGCACTGCTACAGGAGGACGCTCTCTCCTGACAGGCCTCAGGGTCGGGCTGAGCGTAGCCACCTGCTGAGGGAGGCCACCAAGTTCAGAGTGGGCAGGGAGCGAGGTAGAGCAACTCCTGAGTCCTGGGGACATCCCAGAGACCACTCACATGAAGCCCACCGGGGCCCGCCAGCCCCTGCAGGGACACGCGGGGACACTCCAGGACGCCAGCTCCAGGCCCCAAGCCCAGATGCCCAGCGAGGCGGTGGCTACTTTAGGTGTCAAAGGATCCCCAGCGGCTCAGAGCAGCTGTCCCACGGGCACACGGCTCTGGTGTCAAGGGACCAGGCCCCTGTGGCTGCACTGTGGCCTGGCCACTGTTGTCCCAACACAAAGACAAGAGTTAAGTCCAGTTTTGGAGGCCAGAGGCCAAAGAGGCCACACCCTGGGAAAAAGAAAAGGCCCATCTGTCCTCGGCTGAGCCAAGGGTTAGCAATCGCTCTCGGCTCCCAGCTCACACGACTGTCCTCAAAAAGAGAAAAGAAAACCAGCCACATCCCAGGGCAGTCTCATCTGGGGCCACCCAAGCTTTGGGGACAGTTTTCGGCTGAGACTCTTCATGAGACTTAAATTTGAGACAAACCAGCCAGGAGCCAGGGGCTCGCTCTCCTCCACCCACAGACGTGGAAGGCAGATGAGCAGGCGGCCCGGCCGGAGGTCACAGAGCACGGGCCACCTGACCAAGATTCTCTGGACGTCTGGGCCCACCGGTTGACCTCCTGGCTGTGGTGGCTGTGTCCCCCAGTGCACAGGGGAACGGGAGAAGTCCCAGCCTCTGCTTCAAGTCCACCGGAGCTTCTGCAGAGAGAGAGGAGCTGGGTGACCCAGGACGACGGCTTGTCTTCCTGGCCAGGCTCCTGAGGGAGGACGTCCCTCTTGGGGCCCAACGGGAGGAGTCTTGGGAGGCCTGCGGCTCTCAGTGTTTGTGGCAGTAGTTGACTTTCTCTTCTGACTGCTCCAGGAGGTCCAGCATCTCCTCGATGATGGCCCGCAGCGCCCTGCCCAGCTGGTCGGCGTTGTAGGGCTTGCCCAGCGGGGGCACGTGGACAAAGGCCGACCGGCCGTGGCTCTGGTACAGGGAGGTGTAGTAGGTGAAGTCACACAGGTACCTGACCCACAGGACACGGGAGGAAGGACAAACCAGGTCAGCCCGTCAACACGCAGGTGGCCGAGCATCCGACCTGCGGGAAGACGCCCTGGGCACACAGCGATCTGCCAAATGGGAGACCACTGCCCCCTCTCCAACGGGCAAGCACGGAAAACCCGGCTACTCCAAGTGCTGGGGTCCACGTGGAGAAGTGGGCAGGGTGGGACGGTGCTGGTGGGAACCACAGCTGCCTGTCCCCCAGGGAAGGCGAGTGGACAGGCTAGTGAAATTATAACCGTGTGGACTTTTCAACCTGGCATTTCCAGGTTCGAGAATCTCCTCTTGGGAAACATCTGCACGAGGGTTCAGGAGAGCAAAAACAAGGACCTTCACGGTTACGTAAAAAAGCAGAAAAACTGACGGCAATCTCCACGTCTGCTAACGGAGGGGGCTTGAGGGACTTTGGTTCTCCCGCCCAGTGGAATACTATGAAGTCGTCCACAAGGAAAGCAGCAGAGCGGGGTGGGGGTGGGGGTGACGGAGAACCCGCCGAGATGCATGTTGGCTGCCTCCAAATGGAAACTGGGGAAGGGGATTCCCAGGGAGATGCTTGTGATGTGCCCTACCCACGTGAAAACAAAGCAAAGCCAGATGAAGTCCTAGACCAGGTTACGGGGACCTGGTCCAAGCCCCATGGATAACACCGCCCAGGGATTCTCAAGACCCTCCACAGAGTGGGTAGTATTTGCACAAAACCTTCACACGTCCTCCCGGGGTCTTCAAGTCCTCTTTAGAAGACTTAGAATATCTGATACAAGGGAGTTACTATGGGGTCGTCGTTATCCTGTGCTGCTGGGGGAATGATGACCAGGAAAAGCACCGGTCAGCACACATGCACCCGTGCACAGACATGTGCAGCATCGACCCTCCAACACAGAGGCCGACAGTGGCAACTAGTTCTGTGCTTCGTGTGTGTTGAGTGCCCCATCCAAAAAGGCCAAAGCCGACAGACTGGGCTTGCCAGTACCAGCCTCAGCCAGCCAGGGAGACCCCCTCACACCCACCACAGGGCCCACAGCGCCCTACCTGCCGGCATCCTGTGAGATGGTCACTGTCACATCCAGACCCAGCGTGGTGACCCTCTTGCACACAGCATCCATGTCAATGATGGAGTCGATGCTCTCAGGCCCGTCCTCCACGCAGCACTGAGAGCCAGGACAGAAGCGGCAGTTGTCCAGTCCCTTGTAGCCCTTGTTGTGTCCACATTTCTCCAGTGTGACTGTGGTCGCCATGCCCGATACCCCCACATGCACCACCAGCTGCAGATAAATGGGTAGGGCTTAACATAGCCTGGCCGCGGGACTGGGGGTAACCCCGGGCCAAAGAGAACAGCAAACCCCCCCACCCCCGCTCTGCCTGGGGTACATGGCTCCTGACTTCTTGCTGCTGGAATAGACCCTGCAGTCACTCTCACAGAAAAGGTTACCAAGCAAAACATGCAAGGGAATGAACACTCAAGGGTACTTATGGCTGCTTTGTGAGCCCTTACAAACATTGCAAACAACCTAATTAGCCATTCCTGAGTGGAGGATAAATAAACAATGAAACATTATGCAGCTGTTAAAATGCCCAAGGCAGTTTTAAATAGAATAATCCTCAAGACCTGTTGCCAAGTGCAAAAGGCAAGGCATAGCTTCCAGGCATCTAGTCTGAAAGGTATCCAAGATGTAAGGAAGATGGTCACTTTCTCTTTATAACTAACTTTATTTTACACTTAAATTTGGGTTGTTTAGAAAAGTGAGATTCAAATCTGGGTGCCATCTTCCCCAAAACCCCCCAAACCCCAAAGAAAATGAAAGCAAGAAAAAGCCCAGAAACAAGTATGCCCAGTAGGAACAGAACAGCTCCACAAATGACCCAAAATTCCCCAGCCACGAGGCTAATAATGCCAGATGTAGCCCCAGAGACTCAGGAGGCTGAGGCTAGAGGATCGCAAGTTTGAGGCCAGCCTTAACAACTTAACAAGACTCTGTCTCTAATCAACTAAAACAGGACCAGGGATATAGCTCAGAGGTGCAGCAGGGTCTATCCTCGGTGCCACAAAAACTAAAATGTAGGCTGAAAAGAATAAAATAAAATAAAATGAATAATTCATAAAATAAAGTTTAGGCTGAAGAACCTGCTGTTTCTTCTGGTAGCTACCCATGGCCACAAGTGCCTTCTGGGCACGGGATATGTATGAATGTATGACTCAAGATTGAACTGTGTCCTTTGTGGAAAATGTAGTCCAAGTACGGAAAACCGGCACAAAAGACTGTAAAATATCTCATCAGTAACTTTTCCCCTAAAGGCTGGGGGTGTGGCTCAGGGACTCGGCACTTGCCTAGCACACAGGAGGTCCAGGGTCCAGTCCCAGCACCACAAAAAAATAAAAAATCAAAAAAGGCCGTGGGAAGGCCACCCATGCCACCTGGGATACAGAAGTGCACTCCAGGATGTTTACACAGTGACAAAATCACCTGACCCATCTCTCAAAATATATCCCCACATTAAGCAACACAGGAACATGTGACTGTAACTTGCTTTTATTTGTTAAACTGGATGAAGAAGATTACCTAAATGTAACAGGAGGGGAAAGCATCTATGGAACCCCTGGTCCACAAGCTTCCAGGACCCCCCTCTCCAAGACAAAGAAAATTCCACCTGAGACCAGTGAAGAGGCCTCCTTGGAAAGGGAGATGCCTGCCAGGTACAGTGGCGCTCATCTGCAATCCCAGAGACTCGGAGGCTGAGGCAGGAGGATTGCCAAGTTCAAGGCCAGCCTCCACAACTTCCCCTGACTCAAAAAATAAAAAAAGGGCTGAAAGCGTGGCTCAGTGGTACAGCAATGGCCTAGATTTTGGGGATGCCTGGGTTCCATGCCAGCACTGGCAATAAAAATAAATGAATAGATAAATAAATAAATAATCAAATTAAAAAGGAAGACCCTCTGGCCCGCTCTGGAGCCCCTAAAGGAGGCACGAGGGACGACAGGAGGCCTAGGACCCCACTTCCCACCAGCACCAGCCAGCTAGGCTCCGCCCACCATCCTGGCTGGGCCGCACAACCCGTGATGGGAGGCCAGGACTGCTGCCCCCTGGACTTCTTTCCCGCCCCAGGTGGTCTGGAGAGAGCCGAGGTCACCCTCAGCTGCGGGAGTGGACACGTGACCCAGGCTTGGCAAATCAGAGTAGGCCTCTCCTCCTCCAGCACAGTGATTGGCTCAAGGGCCAGCACGTGACCCCAGCTAGCCAATCAGGATCAACCGTGGACCTTGGGGAAATACTGGGGGGACGGTTCTCTTCCTGTCCAGGGGCTAAAATGCGAGGTCACCCAGCTACCGCCATCTGTACCCCCAGAGGCGCTTCCCAGCGCAGAGCAGAGCGCAGCTGAGGCCAGCAGGATGCGGACAGCGCTGCGGGACACGGATCAACCTCCCCTGAAGCACACACGCTTTTCTGTTCAAATCACGTCGAGAGGGGCTTGGGCACTCTGTCATTTATGGGTTTTTTTGGTGCTGGACATGGAAGCCTGGGGTCTTAACCCCCGAGCCACGGCCTCAGCCCTCTTAATTTTTTTATTTTAAAATAGGGTTTTGTAAGTTGCCGAGGCTGACCTTGAACTTGTGATCCTCCTGCCTCAGCCTCCGGGTGCGCCACCTGCCCGGCTTTCTATTTTGGGGGGTCCTGGGGGTGAACCAGGGCTGTGCACGCGGGCACCTGCCCTGCCACTGAGCTGCACGACCTGACCCCGCAGCTCCTAAAGGTCACTTGTAACCAAACCCAAATCCTCACTGAGGGACAGAACCAGGCTGTGAGGTCCCAAAGACAGCGCTCCTCCCTCGCAGAGACCAGAAAAGCAGGTCCCTTTTGAGGCGGGGGCTCTGGCACTGGCCAAGATGGAAGGAGGCGGGCCACACAGCGTCCCTGGGTGTGGTGGAGCCCCGGGAAGCCCCGCCCTCCTCACCTGGGGACTGTGCTTCTCCCACAGGGCGGGGATGAGCCTCTGCACCGTTTTGTACTCAACCGGAATCTCGTACACGTGCAGGTCCACGCTGTCACCAAGACCCAGCTTCTCCAGCTCCTGGAGGAGAACAGAGGGAGGCTCGTGATACCAGCAAGGAGAATGCGCTCCTGGGGACAGCCTTGTTTGTCCTCAGGACACAGGCAACTGCCCTGACCGCTCCCGTGGAACAGGCAGAGACATGTTTCGTGTCCCATGCTGCTCCTCCCCTCTCTCATCACATCTCCAAGGAAGGTGGCATGACTGTGGTTGGAGCCAGGCTCCTGGGTTTGAACCTCGCCTGTGTGACCTTAGGCAAGATGCTTAACCTCTCTGGGCCTCAGTTTCCAAATCTATAAAATGGGAGTAATAAAGTCCTTCCCTTGCAGGGGAGTTGTTAAGAATTAAATGGGCCAATTGACACAGTTCCAAGCAATGCCAGGCACATTTTAAGTGTTCAAATAATGTTAGTTGCCATTACTAATATGGTTTTGTTGTTGTTGTTGCTGTTTTGGTTCAGGGGATGGAACCCAGGGCTTCGCATATGCTAGGGAAATGCTCCACCCCTGAGCTACATCCCCCATCCCCAGTCCCCCTTTGTTGTTCTGGATAAAAATTATTTTTAGACTTGGTGCGTGGTAAGGAGCAAGTTCTCAAAATATACATTTGCAGATGGACTCCACTCTTTAGGGAGCTTCCAGTCATCTCAGGCTCGCGATGAAAAGGTCACAGGGATCACCAGGCACAGTGTGTATGCCTGTAATCCCAGGGCCTGGGGAGGCTGAGGCAGAAGGATCTGAAGTTCAAGGTTAGGCGCAGAAACTTAGACACTAAGTAACTTAGCAAGACTCTGCCTCAGAACAAAAAAAGAGTTTGAGGCCAGGCCTGGTGGTGCATGCCTGTAATCCCAGAGGCTGAGACAGGAGGATCACGAGTTCAAAGCCAGCCTTAGCAACTTAGCGAGGCGCTAAGCAACTCAGTGAGATCCTGTCTCTAGATAAAATACAAAATAGGCCTGGGGAGGTGGCTCAGTGGTTGAGTGCCCTTGAGTTTAATCCCTGGTACCCACTCTCCCAAGAGTTTGAGAATTGAGAGACGGAGCAGGTGTGGTGCCTGCAGCTGCAGCCTTGGGCCTCCCTGCCTCCACTGCTTTCTACACCATCAAACCCTGATTCCCGTGCCTGCTCCCACCACAGCTGCTTGCAGTGGGGTGACATCCTGATAGCCGCATGGGGCCTGCCTCACCTGCTGTGCACCAGCTTAGCCACACTGTGCACTGTAGTGTGGCTTGATCCCCGTGATACAGGGCTGGCTGGGATCCAGGACTGCCGCCGCCCAGCGTCATGACAGGGGACCATTAGCCCAGAGAAGATCTGTATTAGTCCATTTTCTATTACTATAACAAAATGCCTGAGGCTGGGTTACTTTATAAGAAAGGGGGTTTATTTAGCTCACTGTTGTGAAGCTTGAGGTCCTGGCTCAGGCTTTGGCTGAGCTCTGGTGAGGATCTCAGGGTAGAAGCAGGTGCGAGAGGGGGAGGTTACACGGCAAAGCAGGACACCAGACGGCAGTTAGGGGTCAGGCTCAAACCCGGGGGTGCTCTACCACCAAGCTCCATTCCCAGCCCTTATATGATTTGAGACCAGGGCTCACTAGTTGCCCAGGCTGGACTTGGACTGAGATCCTCCTGCCTCGGCCTCCCAAGTAGCAGGGATGACAGGCCTGAGCCACTGGCCTGGTTCGGCTCACCCTTCTCTAACAGCCTTCTCTGGAGGACCAGCCAGGGTCCCTGCAACTGCCTGGGCTCCTTGTGCAGGGAGCGAGCCGGGCGGTCCACCCTCCCCACTGGGCCCCTCCTCTTACCGTCCCACCAACTCTCTCTCTCTTTTTTTTGGTACTGGGGTGGAAGCCAGGGCCTTGTGCCTGCTAAACCCCCGCCCCTGCCCTCCACAGGCCACACCCAGGACCAAGCCTCCAACCCGTGAACCTGGGGACACACTGCAACCATGTCCCAACCTCAGCAAGATCCAAGTCCCAAAGAGGAAACGCGGGTCCACCCTGTGTGCACAGCTCTCCCGCCAGCGGCGGGTCCAAGCTGGTGTCCAGCCTCCTGCGGTAGGACCCTTCTTGTCATCAGAAGTCACCAGCTGCACTGCCGCACACGGGGCGAGGCCGCCGGCCACACAGAGACCCTTGTCTGAGGTTTCTCAGATGCACCCAAGTTTTCTGTGGCAAAGGGATCTGGAGACCTAGACCCCACCATGGCCACCAACAACCCCAACCCCGTGCAGTCCCGGCCCTGCACCGGGGGATCCAGAATCGCTCGAGGATGGGGAGGCACTGAGCGCGGGCTGCGCACGCGGGGAGCCGGGGCCACCCCAGCACCCACCGCACAACATGGCGATGATGGTGATGAAGAAGCAGATTACATCACATTCCTTCCCAGCTCGAGCCTTGTCCCAAATTAAATTGCAACTCCCCCCGGTGGCCCTGGTGCCTGCAGGGGGCGCTCCTGTCATCTCCCCGTCCTGCTCTCCCTCTGCCCCCTGCCTCTGGCACCCCTGCAGCCACAAGGCCCTCCTGGCCAGGGCCCTGCCTCTCCCCACACCTGTGACACTGCTGCATGCCCCGCCCCAGCTTGCTGCCTCCGGGGAAGCCCTTCCTGAGTCTCAGGCCCCTTGCCACTCTCCCCGTCCCTTCCCATGGGAAGGCTCCCTCACACAGCAAGTGCTGAGGAACCTCGGGGCTCAAGTTTGGACTGATGGCAACAGGACTGTGTGGCCCTGGGCATGTCCCCAGACCTCCTGCAGGAGCCTTATCTGCCTCGACTGTAAGTAGGGGCTGGCTGCGACCTCGCTCTCCATTTCATCCTTTGCCACATTTAAAGTGAGCTTCTGACCATTCACGATCGTCAAATGGTAGAAACAACCCAAATGCCCGTCAACAGAGGGAGGATAAATGAAATGCAGCCTGTTAACCTGGTGGAACATTATGTAGCCACGAACAGGAATAGAGAGGGATGAACCTCCAAGACCATCCTGAGTAAAGAAGCCAGTCAGCACAGGAAACAGCACGTCCAGTTCCACTCATAAAAATGGGCAGAACAGACACATCCATAGACAGAAGGCAGAGCAGTGGCTGCCAAGGGCTGGGGGTGGGAGTAGCAAGTGATGGCTATTTGGGATGGGGTAATGGAATGTTCTGGAAAAGATAAGGTGATGGTTATGCTATTGGATGAATATGCCAAGTGCTGATGCATTGTATGCTACCTACTTGTTTTTTGCAGTACTGGGGATTGAGCCCAGGGTCACGTACATGCTAGGCTAGACACATGCTCTGATCCTAAGCTTCACCCCAACCGTCAAAATGACGACTAATTTTATGTTATGTGAATCTCACCTCAATTTAAGAAGAGGAAGAAGAAACAGTTCGTAACGGCAAGGTTGGCAGAGGGTAGCAATAAGGGGCATGGCCTCTATAGAGTAGATGATCAACTTGGTTCCTTCCTTCCCCCACTGATTGGCTGGGTGTTGCTGGACAAGTTGCTCGCCCTCTCTGTGCCTCAGTGCTCTCATTTGTAAATGTGGTTAACAGTAGTGCCCACTGCACAGAGAGAAAAAAATAACAGAAATGAAGGGCAAGTACCTAGATCCAAGCTAGCTCGGGGTTTTAACACACCAGTGGGCTCCCTTTAAGAAAACCTGGGGACTGGGGTGTGGCTCAGTGGTACAGCATGTGCTTGGCCTGCATGAGGCCCTGGGTTCCATCCCCAGCAAGTCAAGAAAAAAAAAAAAATGAAAGTCACTCTGGCTAAGGTACAGCAATCAGATGAACCCTCTTGTCTGGAATATCTAGGGAAAAAAAAAAACAGACAAAATATATAAATTTATATTCTTCTCGTCAGGCCTCCCGAGACAATATAGTGGAGCACCTGTTTACAGAGCACGCCGCTGGGTTAGGTATTCGCTATGGTTTGGATGATTGTCCTCCAGGGACCCACGTATTAAACCCTGGTGCTATGCTGTGGCACACACTTGTCATCCCAGCAGCTTGGGAGGCTGAGGCAGGAGGATTGTGAGTTCAAAGCCAGCCTCAGCAACTCAGCGAGGCCCGCAGCGACTCAGTGAGACCCTGTCTCTAAATAAAACACAAAAAAGGGCTGGGGAGGTGGCTCAGTGGTGAAGCGCCCCTGGGTTCAATCCCTGGTACCAAAGGGAAAAAACAGGGTGAGGCCATTGGAGCTGGCAGAACCTCTAAGAGGCGGGGCCTGGTGAGAGGTGTCTGGGTCCTGGAGGTGGGGCCGCCCCCTCTCTCTCCTTGGCCCTCTGGGCATGGTGAGGTAAGCAGCTGGCTTAAGCCCTGCTCTGCTCCTGCCCAAACGGCCTGTGTCACCAAGGCCCAAAGGCAGGGGGCTCATCAATCCTGGACTGAACCCTCCGAACTGGGAGCCAAAGTAAACCTTTTCCCTTTAGAAGCTGATGACCTCAGTATTTGCTCTAGCGACAGAAAGCTAACACGGTATCCGACATCTAGAGATGACCTCATCCACTCACAGAAAGGTCACAGCATTTCATAGAAGGCACCTGAGCACTCTGGGCTCTGGGATCCCAGGGGCCTTGGGATCAGCCCTCAGACACTAGGGGACAACTGCAGTTGTGTCTGTACAGCCAGAGAGAGAACCTCTTGCTGAAGGGGTGTGTGTGTGTGTGTGTGTGTGTGTGTGTGTGTGTAGGAGCCCAGGAACGAAGGCTGTTCTGGTCCTGCTAACAAACCCAAAAGGGTGAGGTCGTTTCCAAGTACCTCAGCTGTCTTCCAGACAGAAGCTCAGAGGTGGTCACAGGAAATCCAAGAGTACCCAGCATGTGGCAAGGAGAAGCTCACAGTGCCTGGCAGCAAATCAGAACTCACTAGGCACCAGGCGCGGTGGCGCACGCCTGTCATCCCAGCAGCTCTGGAGGCTGAGGCAGGAGGATCGTGAGTTCAAAGCCAGCCAAAGCCAGCCTCAGCAATGGCGAGGCACTAAGCAACTCAGTGAGACCCTGTCTCTAAATAAAATGCAAAATAGGGCTGGGGACATGGCTCAGTGGTCGAGTGACCCTGAGTTCCACCCCTGATTCCCCCCAAAAACCAAAAACTCCCATAAGGAGAAAAAATGATCAATAGAAACAGGCTGAGAATTAGACAGTTGCCAAATTTCTTAAGAGCCTGACAGATTGTATGGTCCCCTCATCCCCACCCCACCCTGGGCCCTATCACCACACTCCAGAGGTGATCCTTTAAGACCCCCCTTCTAACTCATGCACAACTATCCAATTAATCACAGTATGGAGACCCCTTATCTTTTTTTTTTTTTTAAGAGAGAGAGAGAGAGAGAGAGAGAGAGAGAGAGAGAGAATTTCAATATTTATTTTTCAGTTCTTGGCGGACACAACATCTTTGTTTGTATGTGGTGCTGAGGATTGAACCCAGGCCGCACGCATGCCAGGTGAGCAGGCTACCACTTGAGCCACACCCCAAGCCCTGCCCTCCTAATCTACAAGGATATGTTCCAAGGACCCCTGTGGATGCCAAAATCTCCGATAATACCCAATTCCATCTTAACTAAGCACTTAATTCCTTTTCCATCCCCCCCTCCAGTGCCAAGGATAGAACTCAGGGCCTGGCACATACTAGGCAGCCTCTACCACTGAGCCACACCCCCAGCCCTTTTTATTTTGAGACAGAATCTCACTCATTTGCCCAGGTTGGCCTCAAATTTGTAATCCTCCTCCCTCAGCCTCCCAAGTAGCTGGGATCACAGGCATGTGCCGCTGCTCTTGGCCTCCTTTCCTATTTTAACTAAATATATAGCACACACTGTGGCCATAACTTCTGCACCAGAACTGGCACGAGTTTCTTTTTCCTTCTCTACAATTTAAAGGGCAGAAAAGTCATTCTTTCCATAGATCAGAGCAAGCTCAAGATCTGATTTCTTCTTTACTTATGAGCGAACTCTCATCTTTCCACTTCAGGCAGCACTTACAGCTTCTGTATGTCATATCTGAATTCTCAGAATCACTACTCTTATGCTTTGGGAGCACTATTAAGTTAATAAGGATCACACAAGCACAATGGTACCAGGGCAGGCCATCTGGTGACTCAGATGGCTACGAAATGACCAATGGGTGGGTAGCATATACACCGTGGATACATTGGGCAAAAAGCTGATTCACATTCCAGGTAGGATCAAGTAAGGCAACAAAAGATTCATCAACCTACTCAGAACAGTACACTTATTTGTGCCCCCTTATTTGTGGGCATTGCTGACTTTATTTTCACATCAATTACAAACTTCAGTAATTATTTTCTCCACTCTGCAGTCTGTTTCAGAGATCCATCTGCATGTCTACACTGTCTGCTGCATGATATTCCACCTCAGAAACTGGCTCTTACGGATTCAACCATTTTCTTATGTTGGAACACTTAAGTGACTTCCACTTTTCCTCAACTGCACGCTATGCTGCAGTAAATGTACTTGTGCAAATTTCTCACACCCATGTGTGTGGCACAAATGCCAAGAAGCGGCATCACTGTCCTGTAAGATTAGTACATATTTGTTATCAAGAAATATTGTTGGAATCCCAGCTACTCAGGAGACTGAAGCAGAAGGATCACAGGTTTAAGGTTAGCCTAGGCCACATAGTGAGAACCTGCCTCAAAATTAAAAAAAAAACAAAAACAAAACTTAAGGTAGCTTAGTGGTAGAACACCCCTGGGTTCAATCCTCAACCCTGAAAGAATAAAAAGCAACTTGGGCTCTACTCTACTGAATGGGTTAATTCACTCATGTGACTAATGGATTAATGGGTCATTTACCAAGTGGGACTGCCCTAAGAGCTATGTGTGGTTGGATTCCCCCCTCTGTTACCTGTCTCTTGCCATGTGATGCCCTGCTGTGGCCTCAGAATTCTACCAGCAAGAAGACCACCCTTATTGATAAGACCTCTCAGCCTTGGAGGAGAACCATGAACCAAAATTAACCTCTTTTCTTTATAATGTATTCAGTCTGTGATATTGTGTTACAGCAACAGAAAATACATTAAGACAGAGACCCACTGATCTCTCTTCTCTCTCTTAAAAATAAATCAAATGTGCACCATGGTGGTGGATGTCTGTATTTCCAGCTCTTGGGAGGCTGAGGCAGTAGGTCTGCAAGTTCAAGGCCAACCTGGGAAACACAGGGAGACTCTGTCTCAAATAAAAAATAAAAAAGGGCTGGAGGGCCGGGGCGGGGGCTCAGTGGTAGAGCACTTACCTAGCATGTGTGAGGCACTGGGCTTGATCCCCAGCACCACATAAAAATAAGCAAATAAAATAAAGGTATTGTGTCTAACTGCAACTGAAAAAAAAAAAAAAAGGTGGGGGGCTGGAGAGGCAGCTCAGTGCTAGAAAGCTGGCCTGGAATGCAAAAGGCCCTGGGGCCCATCCTGGGCGGGGAGGGGGAGCAGTTTCTCTGTAGTAACCTGGAGGAATCTCCAGGTGTGAGCAGTGAGAGGGCGCCACCTTCTGGACAACGAAGGAACGGCCGCGGGCAGCGGCACGGGCTGTCCGTCTCTGCAGAAACTCACTTGGCACTTGGGCTCCTTCTCCTTGTCGCAGTTCTGGGGATTGAACCCAGGGAGCTCTACCGCTGAGACACATCCCCAGACCCCCCCCCCCCTTTTTTTTTAATCTTGAGACAGGGTCCCCCTGTGTTAGGTCTGGAACCTGCGATCCTCTCTTCAGCCTCCTGTGTAGCTGGGGTTGAGTTTGACGTTTGAACCAAGTCAGCCTTCCCAAGATCAGAAAGTAAACCCACCCACAGCCCCTCTCCTCCACACCTGATTCCTGCCCTTCCCCTCAAGGAGCTCAAGGTCATGCCTTGAGTCCCAGGCGACAGGTGCTGTTTTTAAAATCAGGACGGAAACCTGGATTGAAGAAAAGTAGCAAAACCGGACACGGTGGCCCATGCCTGTAATCCCAGGGGCCGGGAGGCTGAGGCAGGAAGATCTCGAGTTCAAAGCCAGCCTCAGCCACAGCAACAGCCTCACCCCTCCAAAAAAAGATATATAAAACCACCTAATTTTTAAATATTTGCCCTGTACATGATATATATACATTCTTTTAATGTATATTTAAAAATTATTTTATAGCACTTCCCTCTTGCCCTCTGGCCCCCCAAAATATTTTCAAGTTACTCCTTAGAAAACAAGTCATTTTTAATTTTTAAATATCTATATATATTTTTTTGCCCAGCCTGGCCTCCTGCCTCAGCCTCCCAAGACTCCAGGAGTGCCCCACAGTGTCATGGGATACTTTGTGGTCACAGAGGACAACAGGGGAACTTTTCAGGGAGAAATCCAGCAGATCCCACCTCAAGTCAGAGGATGAGATCAAAGGCACCAGTGACAAGACACAGTCACAGCTGGTGTCTCCTGATAGGACCCACCAAGGTGACACCCAGAAATGGAATTCTCACCCAGAAATGCAGCGCCTGAGGCTAATCGTGAGGAAACAGTGACAAACCTGCAGCAGAGACAGTTCACACAGTGACTGGGCGCTTCTCACCACACATGTCAACACCCGAGACAGCAGGGAAGAGGGAGAGAGTGTGCAGAACAGAGGGGCTGAGGGAGGAGAGACGTGATCTGGAAGGTTCTCCCTGTGGAAGGCACTCCTAGGACAGTTGGCAAGATCCGAAAACAGGCTGCAGAGTTCAGAGCTGCACTGACATTAAATAAGTCTGAGCCTGATCAGGACCCTTTTAGGGCATTCACTATGAATTGCTTAGGGGCACGGGGTGGCATGTCAGCAGTGACCCTTCTGTGACTCAGAGAAAAATTCTTTTTAAAGAGAAAGAGCAAATGTAATAAAAGATTAACGTTTGGGGAAGCCAGGACGGAGCTCTGCTCCCAGATGAGAGGCACAACTTCAGGTCCCTGTTAGGAAGAGTGACATGGTGACAAGTTTATAAATGTTTCTCTGATTTTCATCAGAGTGAAAAAACAGTTATAACCTGACTTGCAAAAAAGAAAAAGAAAAGGAACCAACACAAAGACTCTCCCTCCAGCTCCCTGAAGCGCCACCAGCCAGAGCCCGGGTCAATCATCTACCAGGTTTGTTCTTGCTGTCCCTAAATCCTGTCAACCATGACCCTGTCCTCCCCTGCCTCCATCCTTTCTGCTCTCCTGTGGCCCTGGTGGAACTTTCTGGCAATGCAAAGCATTGTTAGGAGACAGGAATGAACAGGATCCGTGTCCCAGGCCGAGGACTTTAAAAACCACTTTTACGAGTTCAGAGCTTCAGTTGGGGACCTGTCCCTTCGCCAAGCGTGCTGCCCATGGCCTGGCCACCTGCAAGCCCAGCCAGCCCGTGGCTCGATTTAGTGGCACCGCACTGACTGACAGGGTACAGGGGACTTGAAGGTAACCAACTCTACAAATCTTCCCGGAGCCACCAGGACATATGACCTGCTGAGGCCAGATGCCCAGCTCAGGAAGCCAGACCTTCCTACCCATCCTCTCGTGACCTCTCTTCCTTCCAAGGAGTGGGCACGACATGCCCCATGACTTCACCCCCTGAATATCATCGCCACTGGGAGATGTTTCCCAAGCACCTGGGGACTCACCCACATTAATTTTTCTTTTTCTTTTTTGGTGCCAGTGATTGAACCCAAGGGTCCTTAATCACTTAATCCCTGAGCCACATCCCGAACTCTTTTTATTTTTATTTTTTAAATTTTGAGACAGGGTCTTGCTAGGTTGCTTACTGCCTCACTATATTAGTGAGGCTGGCCTCGAACCTGCAATCCTCCTGCCTTAGCCTCCAGAGCTGCTGGGATTACAGACACACACCATGACCCCTGACTCGCTTTGATGATTTGAGGCAGAAAATGAGGTAGCCTGGCAAAGGAGCCATGGAGAGAGTCGTCTTCCTGGCCTAATATTTGCTCCTCATGTCTCTGGATCCCACCCATGGCCACCCCCAAGTAGGAGGGAAAGTCTCAACTAAGAAAATCACCATCAAGGGGCTGGGATTGTGGCTCAGTGGTAGAGTGCTTGCCTAGCATATGGGAGGCCCTGGGTTCGATCCTCAGCACCACATAAAAATAAATAAATGAAATAAAGATATCTTGTCCAGTTACAAACAAAAAATAAATTAAAAAAAAGAGAGAGAGAGAGAGAACCACCATCAAGCCCTGTGGTGATGCATGCCGGTCCTACCAGCAGTTTGGGAGGGTGAGGCAGGAGGATGGAAAGTTCAAGGCCAGCCTCAGCAACTTAGTCCCTGAGACCCTGTCTCAAAAAATAAAAAGGGCTGGGGTGGGGCTGGGGGTAGAGCGCTTGTCTAGCCTGTGAGAGGTCCCGGGTTCCATTCCCAGCACCAAGACCAAAAAAGAACCCAGGATAGTAAAAAAATGTCACATATGGTAACCCTGCTTAGGATGGCACTCCCTCTGGGGCAGGCTGGGGAGTGACAGGTGAGGGGCGCTCCGAGTGAGTGGCTCGTCCCTGTCCCCAGCATCTTCTTGTGCGCATTGTTCAAAAGGGGGAGAGCCCCGGGGTCTTCGCGTGGCTCCACGGGGAAGATCTGGATAAATTCTTTGCCTCTGGACGCATCCTCTTCCAACCCGGCAGGACAGGTCTCCTGGGGAGGCGGGGTGCAGCGCACCCGGAGTCCCGCAATCCTCGGAGTCCCGCAATCCTGGGCAGCGGCCCGGGCTTGGGCTGGGGCTGGGCTGGGGCGCCCCGACGCGCATTGTCCCCCGCCCCGTCTACCTGACAGGACCCCGCCGCACGCCGCGCCTGACCGATTCCCTTGACCCCAGGACAAAGACCCTCTTTGTTCGCTGGTAATATCCTTAGCAGGTCTGTCTAGACTCACTGTGGCAGTAATTGTCCCGGGATGTCACCACGTTCTGTGACCCGCTCAGGCAAGGAATGCTACAGACAGCCCCAGCCTAGCGCTCCCTGGCCCTCCACACCCACCTGAGCCTCCCCAGAGACAGGCAGCCGGTGTCCCAGCCCATCACCCCATGTCTACGGGAGCAGGGACACGTGAAGGGCACAGGCCCTCCTGCAGGAGGTGCTGGGGAGAGGGAGGGGTGTATCTCAGCCCCTGGGGAGGCTGAGGCAGGAGGATCACAAGTTTGGGGCCAGTCTGACAACTTGGACCCGTCTCAAAAAAAAAAGTAGCTCCGAGGCTGAGCGCTCCTGGGTCCCATCCCCCGCACTGGGGTCAGCCACCATCCTGGGGAAATATTAAACGGGGAGCTTCCCCCCAACTCCCACTTCCCAAAGAGGCTGGTGGAAACAGTTCACTCTCAGTGGGGTGCAGCCCCCCTCCCCCAAGAGCACGAAGAAGGAAGAGTCAGGAGAGAGAAAGGGTGCCTGTATGTGGGGGGGTGCTCCTTCCACTCAGGGCCTCTTGGGCTTCTGAAAATTCAGTGAGGCCACGAAGCAAGGGCAGCTGGCACCTTCAGGTGCAGGGGGACACACGTCCACTGTCGCCTGCCTGCAGCTGCTGTGGACACCAAGAACAGCCCAAGGCTTATCTTCTTGAAGGATGGAGCTGGCCATCCAAGCAAGGTGTCACCTTTTGTAACAGGCAAATCTGCCTTCATCCAGGGCAATGGAAAAGAACCCACGGCAGCTGCAAGCCACCCCGGGGACACGTCTCACAGATCCCGAGCAGCCACAGGTCACTAATGGTGCCAAGTTCTAAATCAGCAAAACCCACCAAGCAGCGAGCAAGTCAGCAGAGGGCTTAATACCTGGGCTGTGGGGCGCAGCCGGGAAGGGATACAAGGGGCTTCTTGGAGCAAACATGGAAGAACGACAGAATGTTCTAGATCTTGATCCAGACTCAGGGGTGCATATACATAAGACTTCACTGATCCTACAGACAAGTGCCTCCAGTCTGTATGTTTTTAAAGGGAAGCAACCAGATCTGAGAAGACCAGCATCCTTTAATCCGGGGAATGGAGGAGAACCTCCTTATTTCATAAACTTCAGGAACAAAGTGGCACATGAAAAGTTCAGGTCTGGAGAGACGAGGAACCGAGCAGAAAGGGTCTTTCCCCCAGGGCCACAGGATGAAAAGCTGCCAGCCTCCACCAGGAGCCCCGAAGCTCAGAGGGATTTCCAAAGATTGTTTAATTGATTTTTCTTCTATTTAGATGCAGATCGCAGTGTCTGGGGCCCAGGAATTCAGACACTCGGCTTTGTGTCCACTCAGCCCCGTGAAGGCTCCTGTCTGAAACTTGTACAAAGCCAGACACACAAGTCTTCAGAAACACGCTGTTTCTTTTTGTCTGGGGCTCCGGGGAGCGGGTGCGCAAGACGGGCCTCGGACACGCTCCCATCTGCAGGGTCCTGGGACCCCGGCCCTCCATCCTGCTTGCAGAGTGGGGTGGGAAAACAAGGGGGGAAGCAGCCAAGACTCTGAGGTCTTGAGTAGGGGGTGATAAAATAGTGGGGAGGAGGCAGCTGGGGATCAACACCCTGAGAGTTCCATTTGGATTTCTCTCCAAATCCAGGAGTCTGGGCTGAGAAGCATGGAACACTTTAAATCAGGCAGCTAATGGGCTGATTTATATAAGGGGGAAACATGTCTCCCTTTCTCTCTAGTCATTGTTCCCGAGCTGCCTCCAAACGCCCCATATGGCACAGAAATGAGGACAATTCTGCAGGCTGGCACCCTGCTCGGGACACCAGGGAAGACACCCCCCTCCCTGCCTCCACTAGGCAGATTTTTTTTCCATTCCCAATTACTGGAAGGTGACAGTAAGGGTCATTGTACCCTCTCCTACAGGTTTAAGACACCTCCCCCAACCATGTCCCCATCTGGTCTCCCAAACCTTGGAGACACCTGACCAAACACCAGGGCCTCCTCAGGTTGGCCATCTGGAGACCAACCAGAGTCCCCGTTTGTCTGAGTAAATGCAGACGATTTTTGATAAAAAGAGATGAAGGTTCCCTATATGGATGCTTCCTAGGTAAAGAGGGGCCCAGTCCCACTTATGCACCTGCGCTGTGGAAACAGGTAACCTTGACATCCGTGCCACGACCCCCCAGGACCCAGTATGTAGCTCCCAGCCAGAGCATAGGGGGACTTCTGAAGCTGTGCCACTCCTGTTTCCTCGTTGTGTGACCTCAGATAACTCCCTTGATCTCTTCCCCAGGCCTCAGTTTCTACATCCATAAAGTGGCCACAAGAATAACTGCAACTACTTTGCAGGGGGAATTGAGAGAATTCAAGAGAGCTGGGCAGAAAAAGGCACCTTCAACGAATGTAAGCGGCCGCGGGGACTCAGTGAGGTGTGTGTATCAGCCTTGAATATTTCGAAGGAGACTTTCTTCAGGGCCAAGTATTTCTGGAGGAGCCCAGCTCCAGGCCCGACTCCTCCCCTCGGGATCTGAGTTACCTGGACTGCAATCCAGCTGGCGTTCACAGTGTGTTCCCCAAAAGGGCCGAACCCTGAAAAATAGTAAGAGCAACGAGTTACCGTAGAGCCGTCCTTCCCAGCCTGTCCCAGGACTTCTTTTGAATCCCAGCTCAGCGTCCCCCTCCTCTGCCTGTGTGCTTTCAAACGAAGTCCAGGAGTCCTGTCTTCACGTCCCCCCGACTCTCATTTCTCACACCCAGCAAGAGGCCAGGAGCCTCCATTTGCCCCAGAAAAAAAGCTGGTCTCTTCCTTTCTCAATTTCTTTCACCATCCTCCACCCACCCTACAACTATTTTATCAGCCTTCAGTGTTCAAGTCTCCTGACTCTGGAGATACAGGGCCTTAGGCACTCCATGAATCACCGCTGTGTAAGGAATGACCCAAGTCATCTGCATGACAGTGACATTCAGCCTCTCAACTTTCCTTTAAGGCAAGGCTACTTCCTGGCCCCACTTTACAGGAGCAAGGACTGAGGCACAGGGGTCAATCCAGATGCTAAAGGTCACAGTGCAAGAAGATGGAAGAGCCGGGATTCCAACTCCCATCCGGGAAGGTTCACAGCCTGAGCTTCCCTCTGCTAACCACGGGGTCATACTGCTTAAAAACTAAGAATCTCTAAGAGCATGGGCCAGCTGGGTAAGGGTTCCTTACGATGTCAATGTCATGGGAGAGAGACAGTGCCCTGGGATAGCAGGTGGGAGCAGCAGTTCAGGAGGGGACCTCCTGACTCCCTCCTTCCACAGATTCTGAGTCCCAGCTCAGTCACTTACAAGTGGGGTGACCTCTGTGAGCCTCGGTTTCTCTTTACACAAAATGGGACACTGTGAAGATGTCCAGAACCCAGGAAAGGAAAATGCCCTGGGGCTAGGGATGCAGTTCAGCGACAGAACCAAGCACAGGGCCAGCCTGCATAATGAGAGCCTGAGTAATAGATAACAAGATTGAGGACAGCTGCAGGGGGCAGGGACTCTCCACACCTGTTAGGAAGGTGAATGGCTTCCTCCAATTTCCTGGGACTTACAGCAGGCCCACCTCTAACCTCCTAGGCTCACAAAACACTTGTTGGAACGTTTTCTTTTTCTTTTCTTTTTTTCTTTTTTGTGGTGCTGGGGCTCAAGCCCAGGGATCCGTGCCTGTGAGGCAAGCGCTCTAACTGATCTGTATCCCCAGCCCGGAGCGTTTCATTTACTCCCCCCCCCCCAACCTCTCTGGAGAGCAAGTCAAAATGCCCCTGCACACACGCACACTCCAGGGGCCTGGCGGATGTTGACGGGCCACTTGGCCCCGAGGTGGAGTCTCAGCGAAGAGGAACAGTTGGTTTCAAGAGAATCAGTGACAGCTGGGGCTTGGCGCACCGAAAACAATCCAGGCTGAAAAGGTTTTGGCTGAGACAGTCCCTGGGACGGCCAGGAGGGAGCCCGGCGCCCTCGGACCTTGAATCCCTACCAGCCCCTGCCCGAGGGGGGCAGCCCCCCGTTAACTCAGCACCGGGGAGCAGCGGCTGGGAGGTTCATTTGTCACGGGGGCACTTCCTGCCCGTAAGTCAGCCTTTGTCCCCTGGGGCCAGGGGGTGGGGACAAGCCCGATCTCGGGAAGGGTAGGAAGGCGGGGTCCAGTCCAGTTCGCTGGCTGGGCAAACAGAACAGCAGGTAGGTCCCTGGAGGGTCACTGTCCTCAGGGGTACGAAAGGACTCCAGAGGGGGCCTGCTCCACGCGGGGTACTTGCCCGGACCCTCCCCTAGCAAGTCCTGCCTGTCCTGACCCCCCGTCCCGGGGACCGCGGAGGCGCCCCCTCCTCCACTTTCCAGGTCGCCCGAACTGAGCTGGACTCCCTCGGGCGATGACATCTTCCCAACCTGGGACGACGTGCAGCACCTGCCCGGTCCGGCCCGCCACCCCGGAGCCGCCCACCAGCCCCGGCCGCTGCATACCAGTCACCACCACCGCCTTCCTGGGCTGTTCCATGGCGGGATCCAGCTGCGCCTCGGACCCGCTGCTGTTGGGACTGGCGAGTCCGTCGCCGCCCCAGCCGCCGCCGGGACTCCGCGCAGCCCCGCCCCCGGCCCCGCCCCCGGCCCCGCCCCCGGGCGCCCGCTCGGCGTGCGCGCCCCCGGCCACACCCCCAGCCTCTCCCCCAGCCACGCCCCAGTCGGGCTTTCGGGACGCAAGTTCCCAGTCCCGCCCCGGCCGGGCGCTCAGCGTGCGCGTCCCCGCAGGTCCCAGCTGTACCCCGCCGGCCGATCGGCGTGCGCGCCCCCGGGCGCCAGACGTCGCTTGCGCAGCCTGCACGCCTCCACCCTTGGCTGCGCCCCAGGGCGCCCGCCCAGCGCTCACCAGCCGGTCCCTACCTGCCAGCGGGCTAGTCCGCCCCGCGGGTTGTGGCAGCTGTCGGTCTAAGAGCCTGGCGCCGCGGACTCGCAGGTCGTTTGTACTGCAAGTATACATTAAGCGCCTACTGTAAGCCTACTGCCAAAAATTGGGAGCAGGAAGAACCAACCGGGGACGGTTCACCACCCGCTTATTCACAGCGTTTTGCACATGGGGAAACCAAGGCACAGCTCCAGACCATTTGCCCTGGGCCACTTCTCGAACTTGGAAGGGGTCACAGAAGCTGCATTCAGGCCAGGAAGTTGAGGGGAAGAGCGGAATTAAAGAGGAAAAGCACTGACTACATTGGGCTGTTGCTAAGGAAGCTAATGTGGCCTCAGAGCCCTCAGTCTCCCCCACGCTGTCTCCGAGCCCAGCTGCCTCCCAAGGCCTAACACTGTTCCCTCTGCCTGGAACAGCCCCCAGGTACCTGCAACCGGACTGTTCCTCCTCCTTCACACCTCATTTCCGATCTTCTCCCTCCCTAGGGCCCTCCCCACCTTGTCCCTGGTGGTTACCTCCTCTGAAGGTCACCTATCTCCCTGTCACCTCCTGCAAGGGTTCTTTCCCACCCAAGCTGAAATTACCCCACCCACACCGAGGGTCCTTCTCATTTCCTGGTTCCATCTCTTTGTTAGCGGTGAAGCTCAGAAGTCATCGCTTTCTCCTCTCTGCCTTTCTATTTAACTCCTCATTTCCATTGACAAAGGGATTAGACCTTCCAGAGCAGGAAGTATCTGTTAGAGCTGCGACCTGGTACCCACAGCATCCCCTAGCGCAGGGTAAGTGCCCTGCCGACGTGCAGATTTCCTCCAAAAACAGCCAGAAAAGTACAGCTTGAGTTTCTGGCCAAGTCCTCGGAGACAGGGCTGGACCTTGGACTTGGATCTCTGGCTTCTCATTCCAAAGGCCTTGACTCCGCCCCCATTCACCAGGACTCTGGGCGAGGACTGGCTCCCCCCTGCACCCTTCCAACATCCAGGGCAGAATTCTCTGGACTGCCCCGGGGCTTTATTTGCGAGCTCGGGCTTGAGATCACATGCTCCGAAGCTATTTTGGTGTTTGGCAGCTTCAGGTAGAATTCAGAAAATCTGAGAGCCAGCCTGGGCCGGTTGTGAGAGCTACAGCCAAGCCCATGGGAGCAGAGAGCTGACCAAAACACCGCCCAAGTTTGTTGCTTTTAAATATTATGTGGATTTTTAACCTTTATTTTATTTATGTATTTTTATGTGGTGCTGACGATGGAACCCAGTGCCTCACATGTGCTAGGCAAGCTCTCTGCCACTGAGCCACATCCCCAGCCCCCAAGTCACGTTTTGTAATTCAGATATTTATAGGCAGTCTTCCCTATCCACAGTTTCTACAGCCACAGATTCAACTAACCCCTTATGAAAACTATTTGGAAAAAAAACAGTATCCGGCACCTACGGACCCTTTTCCTTCTCATTCCCTAAACAATATGGTACAACTATTCACCTAGCATTCATATGGCATTAAGTATTACAAATCATCAAGAAATTATTTAAAATTTATGGGAGAGTATGTGTTTGGTGCAATCCCAGCTATTAGGAGACTGAAGCAGGAGAATCACAAGTTCAAGGTCAGCCTCAGTAACAGTGAGATCTGGTCTCAAAATAAATAAATAAATTAAAACAATGAATAAATAAAAGGGCTGGGGTGTAGTTCAGCGCTATAGTGCCCCTGGGTTCAACCCCCCAGTACTGCAAACAAAAAACTAATAAAATGAAATTTATGGGAGGGTGGGCATAGGTTCTGCACAAATATAATGCTCTTTTATATGAGGGACTTGAGCATCCAGATTTTGGTATCTGCAGAGGGTCCCGGAGCCTGTTCCCTGCATATATCAGGAATGACTGTAAGAAATGCCTGGTGCAGAGTCTCTTGCTAGGAATCAGGGACAGGCAGAGAGGGAGCCCACAGCAGTTTTCCATTTCCCCTGCTGCACTGACAGAAGGGTGACAGGAAGCAAAAACCATCAGAGTGATGGGGAGAAATGGAGTCACACACTACTGTCCCATGTGACCGCTGATAAAGAGGAACATTCAAGAACTGACCACGCACAGGCTCAGAGCTAAGCACTGACAAAATTTCTCTCTCTCTCTTTTTTTTTTTTTTTTTTTTTTGTACCAGGGATTAAACCCAGGCACTCTTTTTTTTTAATATTTATTTTTTAGCTGTAGATGGACACAACACAATGCCTTTATTTTTATGTGGTGCTGAGGATCGAACCCGGGTCCCGCCTGTGCTCGGGGAGTGCTCCACAGCTGAGCCACAATCCTAGCCCCTAAACCCGGGGACTCTTAACTACTGAGCCGCATCCATAGCCCTTTTTATTTTATTTTTATTCTTTTTTATTTAGAGACAGGGTCTTGCTGAGTTGCTTAGGACCTCACTAAGTTGCTGGGGCTGGCTCTGAACTCTCAATCCTCCTGCCTCGGCCTCCCTAGCCGCTGGGACTACAGGCCTGCACCATGGGCCTGGCTGGGAGGGACTATTTTTAACCCATTCTGCAAAGTGAGCCAACTGAAACCCAGAGTAGTGAAGTCCCAGGTCCCACACGGGTGGGGCTGGGATTTGCAGCAGAAGTGAACAGACACATCCTTAGGGGAAGAGAGTCCTCCCCAAAGTCCTTCCTTACTGGAGCTTCCAGGATGAAAGTTCAAGGGCAATCTGCAACAGACCGCCTGAGCAGGTAGAGGTGGAAGGCAGGGGGGGGGGCATTGGGGTGTGGCCCCTGGGTAGGATGCTTGCCCAACATGCAGGAGACCCCAGGTTCCATCTCCAACATCACAACAAACAACAAAACTCCCACCTCACTGAAAAGTCAAGTGCAATAAAGCAAGAAGCTGCTGCGGAACAGCTTGGCCGTTCCTTAGGAAGTTAAATACAGAGTTAATTTAGGACCAAGTAATTCCACTCCTAGATATAGAACCAGAGCAACCGAAGACACATGTTCACGACAGCACCATTTACAATGGCTAAAAGGTTGAGTGAAACAAATTCCTAGCAATGAGGAAGTAAACTGTGGCATAATTTATACTATAGAATATTACTCAGCCCTAAAAAAGAGAGTGTAATATGGACACATGCCACATTGTGGGTGAACCTTGAAAACACCCTGAGTGCCAGGTACAGGGACACACACTATAATCCCAGCAGCTCCAGAGGCTGAGGCAGGAGGATGGTGAGTTCAAAGCCAGCCTCAGCAACAACAAGGTGCTAAGCAACTCTTTAAGACTCTGTCTCTAAATAAAATACAAAACAGATAAAACAGGCTCAGGGAGATGGAAACAGGCTGGGGATGGGCTCAGTCATAAAGCACCACTGCATTCAGTCCCTGGTTAAAAAAAAAAAAAAAAAAAAAGAGTTCAAGTCCAGTCTGAGTCTCTGAATGAATAAATAAAAAACAAAAATTTTAAAAGCCAAGTGTGTAATGAAAAATGTAAAAGAAAGAAAGCACTTTCAATGTGTTCGTAAATGCATAAACTATCTCAGAAAGGAAACATGGGAAATTAACAATCCCATGGGTCCCCGGGGAGGGAACCAGGATGGGGTGGGGTGGGTGAGTACCCCAGTGGATGGAGTACCCCAATGTCTTTTGCATCCTGTACACACGTTAACTACTCAGAAATAAGTATATACATCTTCCTTTTTCTTAAAAAAATAGAGTTTTTTTAATTGTTGATAAATACTATAACATAAAATTTACCATCTGAACCATTTGCTAATCTCTAGTTCAGCAGCATTAAGAATAGTCATATTGCCAGGTGGGGGAGGCTGAAGCAGGAGGCTCTCAAGTTCAAAGCTGGCCTCAGCAACTTAGAGGCCCAAAGCAACTCAGCAAGACCCTGTCTTTAAAATAATTTTTTTATTTTTTAAAAAGGCTGAGGATGTGGCTCAGTGATTAAGCTCAATCCCCATACAAAAAAGAAATAAATTGGGTCACCAGCTAGTCAGCTTTCTGTTAACTGTAACAAATAGCTGAGATAATTCACTTATAAAGAGAAAGGTATATTTTGGCTCACGGCGAGAGGTTTCGGCCCAGATTGGTTATCACCATGGCTTGGACCTGTGCTGAGGCCACAGCACATCATGGCGGGAGTTGGTGGCCGATCAGGATGCCCGACTTCATGGTTGAGATGCGAAAGAGAGAGGAAGACCAAGTAACTAAGGACCCCCTGTCCCACACACCCCAGTAACAGGAAGACCTCCTACTAGGTCCCACATTTTAAAGGAGCCACCACAAAGCTAGAAACTAAATCTTTTTTAAAAAAAAAAGTTTAATAAATTTATTTTTAGTTGTAGTTGGACACAGTACCTTTATTTTATTTATTTATTGTTATGTGGGGCTGAGGATCCAATCCAGGGCCTCACATGTGCTAGGCAAGCGCTGTACCGCTGAGCCCCAGCCCCAGCCCTGGGGAAACTAAATCTTGAATGCATGGGCTCTGGGGGACATTCCAGGACCAGACTGGCATACAAGAGCAGATGAGGATTGCTGGGCACGGTGGCGCATGTGATCTCAGCAACTCAGGAGGCTGAGGCAGAAGTATTACAAGTTTGAGACCAGACTCAGCAACTTATGGAGACCATGTCTCGAAATCCCTGGGTTCAATCCCCAGTACCCCACCCCGCAAAACAAGAAAAGAAAAAGGAAAGAAAGGATGAGGGTTTATGAAGCATCAGGTACAGCTAGATCCAGGGTTAAATAAGGGATGACTTTATAGTGGGGAAATGGCCAGGTTGTGTACATGAACCACATGGCTCCAGACTGCAATCCTAGAACACTCCAGCGAAGCCCCCAGAGGGGCCAGGCCTGGGTTGTATGTCCATGACGACGGTGGAGGGGAAACTACTGAACAGTCCCCTGTTAGAGGCCCATATAAACTCTCATACTCCGCTCCTGCAAGTCAGAGCCTGGAGGTCTTAAAATGGCAATTGCAATGCAGCAGAAAGCAAATAATGCTGGAAGTCAAGGCCAGGTGCTGAAGTTCAAAGTATAAGAGATGGATGGCTAGAGTTTGCAGGGCGGGCAGTTAGGGAAGAGATCATGAGGCAGGTATGCACTGGTGAGGGGCTTTTTTGTTTGTTTGTTTCTTTTCTTTTCTTTTCTTTTTTTTTTTTTTTTGTATTGGGGAGTGAACCCAGTAGGATACTTTATCTTTCAGCTACATTCCTAGTTCTTTTTATTCTTTTATTTTGAGACAGGGTCTTCTTGCTAAATTGCTGAGACTGGCCTCAAACTTGCAATCCTCCTGACTCAGTCTCCCAAGTGGCTGGGATTACAGGTATGCACCACAGCACCCAACTTAGTGTAGGTTGTTTTTTTCCCCCTTATTTTAAAAATTGGTGTGTTATAGTTGTACATAATGGTGGGATTTCTTGTTACACATTTGTACATGTACACAATAAAATTTGGCCAATATTGCCACATGTGGTGGTGCACGCCTATAATCCCAGCAGCTCTGGAGGCTGAGGCAGGAGGATCATGAGTTCAAAGCCAGCCTCAGCAAAGGTGAGGTGCTAAGTAACTCAGTTGAGGCACTGGTCTCTAAATAAAATGTAAAAATACGGCTGGGGATGTAACTCAGTGGTTAAGTGCCCCTGAGTTCAATCCCCAGTATCTCCCCACAAACACACACACAAAACCCCAACTTAGCACAGGGGATGTGGCTCAGGGGTAGAGCACTTGCCTAGCATGCATAAAATCCTAGGTTCTACCACTAGCACCAGAGGAGGATAAAAAACTTCTTGGGCTCACCTTAGTGGAAGGTTACAGCTCATGACTTCAGGTATAGCTGGATCCAGGAACTCACCTGTGCCCTTCTTTCCACTGAGTAACTCCAGTGTCATATATATATATATATATATATATACACACACACATACATATATCTTTTTTTTTCTTTTTCTGAAGAAAGTTTCACCCAGAATATTGATCTTGATGGCACTGAATTTTCATTATCTTATTTTATGCCTTTCAGCTTTCAGTATTATTATTCTTGTGCAGAGTTTTAATTTGTTTTTAGGTCCTGGGGATGGAACCCAGGGGACTTCACACATGCTAGGCTCCACCCCCAGGCTCCCAGGGCAGAGTTTAATTGGTCTTCATAAATCTTCTTTTAACCAATCAGGATGGCTAAGGGGAGGGCGAACTCTCAGGGGCCCACCTATGTTGAAAGAGCTCACAAAAACTGCAGTAACCGAGGTCTGCCACATGGTGTCGCCCAAGCTGGGGTTTTAAGACTGAATCGCTGTTCGCCTGTTGGGGGAAAGGAAGACTTAGAAAAGTCTAGAAAAAGTCATAAAATGGTGACCCAGCATTCAATTTTCTTCCGACTTCCATGGCCATATTGATGCTGGGACATCGCATGGACCCAGTTTCTCTTGTTTACATCCCTCGGGCTTTGCCTTTGGCAAACGAGGCTTGGCCAGGCACCGGGATCCCTCTAACCCAGTTGGCATCCCACCCGCGTCCTCCCATCTCAGACCTCACCAGCGTGTCTGGGCCACCCAGAGCTGGCCCTGGGCAAAGCTCATCACGAACGTTGGCATCACCTTCAATGCCTGGAATTCACACAGCCCTCCTCTTAGGGGAAGCCCCGGCTCCCCACAGGCCTCCCAGGAAGGGAGATGGGGATGAGGACTTCATCTCCCACGTTCCTGAGCCGCGTCCCCTCAGCCCTCAGTGTCCACACGGGGCTGCCTGTTGTTAGGGACCCTGGGTTTTCTTGGACACTGGAGCAGGGCCAGCCCCCAGGGTCAGGGATTCAGATGCCTCGGGAGCAGCCCTGAGCAATGATGCGAGGAACTTGAAGACTAAATGTATTAGTCCCCCTTCCCCTGGGGCGGAACCACCGTAAGGCTCAGGGTCCCTGAGGTCCCCCGTGGGACTGACCCCCATTGCCACCACACCATCTGCTCCTTGACATCTCACGTAGGGCTCCTTCCTGCTTTGTCCTTTGTCCTGCTCAGCTCCAAAGGGGCTGCCTGGGATCACCTGCTAAATGAACCACATGCCCTTGAGTCTTTTTTTTTAAATTTTGTTTTTTAGTTGTAGACGGACACAATACCTTTATTAATTTAACACTTTTTACACCTTTATTTTATTTATCCATTTTTATGTGTGCGTAGGATCCAACCCAGGGCCTCACACGCGCTAGGCAAGCGCTCTACCACCGAGCTACACCCCAGCCCTGCCCTTGAGTCTTTACCTCAGCATTGGCTTCTGGGGGTGGGGGAAACCCCAACTTAAGACATAGGCTTCGTGGTCAGGTGCTCCAAAACTGGACCTCCAGTCTTGTCGTCTTCTGATTTCAGAAATTCTGTTTACTTCACGAAGTCATTGCCTGAATTCTGCCAACATCTTCCCCCCAAATTCCCTTTGGTGCCAGTTGCTTAAGGAAGTTGACTCCACACTCTTGATCCAGCCAGGGTCACCCCCGAGGTCCTCCTTCTGCCCCTGAGTGGACTTGACATTCTCCAACCCTGTGTTTTCGCTTTTCCTGCCATTTACCATTGCTGGGATTTTTTTTTTTTTGTGGGTTTTGATAGAAAATTTGTCTCAAACTGGCCTAAGCAAAGAAGAAAATTTCATGACTCAAAGAACAGCGAAGATCAGGTAGACTGGCTTCAGGCACGGCGGAATTCCTGTTTTTTTCTCCTTCCATCTGGATGTTGTCTTCATTCTGCAAACTGCAGGGAGGCCCGCTGTTGGTCCAGGAATTCTGGGGGCTCTCTGCTTTCTCTTTTGATCCATCAGCCAAGTAACCCTGCTCGTAGGAGGAACACATCTGAGCTTCAAAGTTGTGTCCTAGCAGAGTTCCTTCTCCCCTTAAAAAGAGGGAAGATTTTAGTGCCCCAAGCCCTCTGGTGGAAGGCAACTAGGTATGTGGATTCCTGTTCTAGTCTTCCTAGATCTCAGAGGCCTAGTACAGGGCCATCTTTCATTAAGAAGTCAAGTATCAGGCGGGGCGCAGTGACGCAACTCTGTAATCTCAGCAGCTTGGGAGGCTGAGGCAGGAGGACCTCAGGTTCAAAGCCAGCCTCAGCAATGGCGAGGCCTTAAACAACTCAGTGAGACCCTGTCTCTAAATAAAATACAAAATAGGGCTGGGGATGTGGCTCAGTGGTCGAGTGCCTGAGTTGAATTCCCAGTACCCCCTCAAAAAAAAAAAAAGTCTCCAATCTGCCTCAGAGACAAAGGTTTCTTTCAACTGGAAGCTACTGGTCCTGGGTGTGTAAAGAAAATGATCTGCAGCCAGTCCTGAGGCTCAGAAGGCTAGGACAGGGACCCCTAGTGCACATTTACAGGCCTGAAGATCAAAGCATTAGGCCAAGGATGGATCTTTCCATGGGCACCCAAGTGAGTCTCTCCTAGGAAGTTAGGTACCCCCAAGGGTGTCAACTTCAATCCCATCTGCAGGTTCCGCCTCCATGGATTAACCAAACACAGGTCAAAAATATTTGAGGGGCTGAGGTTGTGGCTCAGTGATAGAGTGCTTGCCTACCATGTGTGAGGCACTGGGTTAGATCAGCACCGCATACAAGTAAAATAAAGGTATTGTGTTCATCTACAACTAAAATAATAACCAAAAATTTGAGAAAAAAAATTTAAGATGTACAGGCTCCCCCCAATTATTCCTTCCACAACACAATATAAAAGCTATTTACATAGCATTTACATTGTGTTAGGCCCAATAGAGATGATTAAGAGTCTACAGGAGGATGTGTGTAGGTTCTGTGTAAATACAACACCATTTTACATAAAGGATTTGAGCATCCTGGATTTTGGTATCTCCACGGGGTCCTGGAACCAATTTTGCGGATGCCAAGAGACACCTGTACATTTGTGCTCACCTTGAAGAAATTAACTATTAAAAAAAAAAAAAAGCTACATAGCTAATACTTGGGTTGAGTGATATATCCAAATCCTGATGTTCTGGTACTTGTGAATATGATCTTAATTAAAATGGGGTCTTTGCAGTGAAACAAGGACCTAGAGATGAGATTGCTCTGGATTTAGGGTGGGTTTAATGAGACAAAGGAGTGTCCTTAAAAGAACAGGAGAGGAGAAACAGAGAAGACGGAGGTGTGAAGAGGCAGTGATCAGAGTGACGCATCTACAAGCTGAGGAACAAGGATCGCTGACAATCACCAGAAAAGCCAGGAGGGAGAGGCAAGGGACAGATAGTCGTTCAGAGCCTCAGGGAGGAGTCAACCCTGTTGACACTTTGCAGAATTCTGGCCTCCCAAATAGAATATTGCGTTCTCCCCTCTCCCCCGCCCCGCATCTGCCTGTTTTGTTACTAGGGAATGAACCTGGGGACGCTTTCCCACTGAGCTACATCCCCAGCCCTTTTTATTTTGAGACAGGGTCTCACTACATGGCCCAGCCTGGCGGGCGGCTTGGGACCCTCCCAAGTGGATGGGATTATAGGCGAGAGGCACTGCGTCAGGCTCAAGATCTGTTCGCAGGCTCCCGGTTTCGGGCACAGCGGCCCCCCCCCCCCCCCACACACACCGCGGCTTTGCTTTCCCTGGTTTCAGTTACCCACGATCAACTGCAGTTCAAATCTACTAAATGGAAAAAGAAACTATTTAAAAATCATTTAAAATATATGAAGTGGAAAATTCCAGAAATAAACAACTCGTAAGATTTAAATTGTGCGTCATTCTGAGCAGCGTGTGCGATCTTGCGGTCCCCTCCGTCCTGTCCCATTAGGCACCTGGGTTGTAGCTGGACGGGCACTGTACGCCAGGGCCTGTTTTCGAAGGACCCTTATTTTACTTAATAATAACAAGAACGAGAATCGAAACACTAGGATCCCCAAGGGTGACATTAAGGACCTCCCAATAACCGCAGAGTCTCAATTTCTCCCTCTCTGTAGCAACCCTGGAGGCATTAACGGGCTTTGCCCACAGCGAGGAGCCCAGGAGACCAGCGGCGGGTTTCATTTGCGCATGCGTTCTTACCCACAAGGCATCCTGAGCTGGCATGCGCTACTTTGCCCCCTTTTGCATCACTCGCCGGGGCACTTTACGACCTTTTCCCTTAGTTCTCTGGCGGGAACACGGCCTGCCACGCCCACCATGCCCAGAAGGCCCCGCCCCTCTAGGCAAGGATTGGCTGTCTGTTCCTCAAGCCCGGTGCTGACTGGCTCGCGTCTCTGCCACTCCTTTTTAGCTTGGTGGCGCGCGGCGGGGCGGCTACCGGGAGGAGCGTGAGCGGCTGTGGCAGCGGCGGAAGTGGCCGGCGAGCCCGGTCCCCGCCGACAACATGGTGAGGGCAGGTCGACGGTGGGTTCTCCTGGAGGTGGGGGACGCGACCATCCGGGATCCTCGGGGCGGGCTCTAGGGGCTGGGATAAATGTGCAGTGCAAGTCTTGTGTCCCGCCTGTGGCAGGCGGGGAAACTGAGGCTCGAGGCATCAGGGGCCTCCCCAGGGTACCCAGTTCGTCGCTATTCAGGAGTTTGGGGTTGGACGGACACATATTCACAATACAGCAGCCGGCAGCGGTCGTCCTAATTTGTCGGTGGGGTGACAGGACCCGCCAAAGGGCACCGCGAGTGAAGGGGAATGAAGTTTGGAGGGACACCGAGCAAAGTGGCCCAGGCTAATCCCATAGGTTACAGAAAGCTAGTGTGTCGAGAAGTAAGGATCAAGTGAAGCCCGTTTGGGGAGCTAGAGAGCTTGGGAAGTGTTCAGAATGTTGGCAGCACACACTTAGATGCCTCTGGCTTAAAACAGGCACAGGGAGGGGAATCGTTTCTCCCTGGGCCACACAGCATTTCATTCCAGGGAAAGGAGGGGTTCCTGTCCCCAGCCCTGCTGCAGAGGATTGAACCCAGGGCCTCAGTAGATGAGAGCTGTACCGCTAGGCTACTTCTCCAACCCTTTTTCAATTTTATTTTGATTCAAGGTCTTGTTAAATTATCCAGACTGGCCTCGAACTTGTGATCTTCTTCCTTGGACTCCCCAGAACCCGGGATTACAGACATGTGCAGCATGCCCAGTAAAGGCGCATTTTAAGCCAGAGGGGGACAAAGGGAATCCTCCCCATTCACAGAAAGAAAAATTAAGGCCTGAGAATTCTGGGTGAGAAGGTTCTGGTGACTCTGGTGTACAGATAATAGACACAGGAATTCAGAGCTGTAAGTTTCTTGGCCTATCAGCATCCATCATTTAGTGAGAGAAATCAAGGATGTTGGTAGGGAAGTGACTTCCAATCACTCCATGAGATGGTGAGGGATTCTGGAATAGCAGAAGAGATCCCCAAGGGGTGGCTGCACATTTCTCAAACTAAGGTTTAATGAAGGCTTCTAAGTGCTGCTGGCCAGTGCAGGAATTCACAGAGAGCCCCTCTCCCTGCTGCATACCATCCAGCAGGTGAAGTTGGCACTGTAGGATAGGCACCGGAAAGACCCATCTCTGTTCAGCTCCTTGACAGCAGATCTTCATTTTTATCCCCAACACATTAGCAGAGTCTAGAAAGTACTTACACAAGGTACAGACTCGAGACTCTCATTCAGCCTCGTTCCGCCTCCTGAACATCCAGAGTCCTCAAGTCTCGACTTTCTAGGAGTTTCCTGGAGGAGAGCCAAGAGTAGACAGGCAAAACACCGTCACACATTCCCAGTCCCTTGTGGTCAGATTGGAGCCAGAAGGAGCAGCCTGGGGGTGGGCGATCCTGAAAGGCTTCCTGAATGAGAGGCATTGGGTTAGTCCTCAATCCATCCCAACCTGGGGATGAGACCTCTGGAGTTCTAAGAAAGTCTAAAAAAAGGAATCCTCTTACCTGAAACAACTTTTCTAGCCTAAGATTTAGATTTCTGTCACCTGGGTAGAATCCCATCTCACTTGGCACTTTCCTGCTTTTTAAATTTTTCTGTGGTTCTGGGGATGGCAGCCATGGCCTCGCCCATACTCTTGCCTGTGCTCTGACACTGAGCTGCACCCCTTCCTCTGTCTTTTAAGTTCACCAGGATCCACCCCTTCCTCTGATCTCTGTCTGCAGCATGGTTTGGGAATGAGGACATAGAATAAGGCAAGATGCTGTCACTGCTCCAGGCCATTGCAATCTTGCAGAGCCTCGACCTAACAGTCACGTGGCTCCCTGTCCCTGTGCCACCTCTGTCCATCAGAGCCACCCTTGCCTTACCTGTGGGGTGGGGCAAGCATTCTGCTCTGCGTGCCTCCCTGGGTGGCAGTGCACTTCCCTCCTGTATTTATTCAGCAAATACTTACTGAGTCTCTTCTCCCTGGTCCCTGGCCCCATGTGTGCTTGGCACTAGACAAAGCCCACACCCACTGAGTGTTCCAGTCTAGCCGGGGAGGCAGGTAATATATAAACAAGATAATTAGAGGCTGACGGCAGCCTGTGATGGAAACCAACAGCTGCACAGCAGAGGGTGGCCATTAGGGCTTGGCCAGCCACTGGAAGGGCACCCTGGGTGGAGGCAACAGCAGGGTGAAGGTTGGCCAGTTTGGCTGTGGCCTCAGACTGGCTTGGCTTACTAGGGGTGGGCTGTCAGGCTGTTCCTGTCCCATCTGTGTCTGAGATGTTTTGTTTTTCTTTCCTTCGGTGCTGGGGTTGAAACCAAGGGCCAGGTGTGTGCTAGACACCTGGTCTACCTCAGGGCCCCATCTGTATGTCCACTCTTGGATACGTTATGAATAGGGACCTGCCAGTCACAGCTGAGGAAACCATGGGTCCTCCTGGGCTGTGCTCCTGGTAGTTGGCACACGTGAAGTCCTGAGGATTGTCCCCAACAAGGAAAGCGTGTGTACACTGTAGTATGACATCTGCTCACCTGCTGGCAGCAGGCATCTGTCCCTGCTGGGCTTTCCCAGGGACGTGCTTTGCGTTCCTGGGCAGGTCCCTCCCGTGACGAGTGCTGGCATCTAAAATGAATGACTGCCAAGCCCATTTTTCTTCTTGGCATCAAGGGCCAGCCTGTTCCCTACCCCCTTCCCAGTGATCTGGGAGAAGCGCCTATGCATCTCCTCTCCCTGGGTCCAGGTGCCCATGTGGACTTAAGAACGCAAGCAGGCCAGTGTGAGGCTCCTGAGTGTACCTACCGCCTGGGCAGTGTTGCCGGGCTACATCCCAAAGGCAAAGGCAGGAGCCCTCCGGAGCCCAGCCCGCCCACCAGGGCCCAGCAGCCACTCCTTCAGTGCTTGGCCTCTTCCTCCTTATCTTGCCTTTCCAGGAAGCCAGCACAGGAAGTGGGCTTGGGCCTGGCTTCCTGCTGGCTTGGGACCTCCTCCAGGCAGCTCTTCTCAGGAAGGGCCTGTGGGATGTAGGATTCCCTCCCCCAAGGCCTTCAAGGCCCAGGGAGGAGCAGCCACCTTGCAGCTGGGCCAGGACTCCCCTGCAAAGGCTTCTGGGGATTGGGCTGACTGGGATTCCAGAGTCACGGGTGCGGGGGGGGGGGGGGGGGGGGGCTCTGAAGCCCTGTCTTCTGTGAGGTGTTTTCTCAGCCCTGGGGCCCCCAGAGCCAGAACCTTCATCCTGGCCACACTGGGATGGACTCTGGACCCAGGCACTGCCACCTGAGTCACCCTTCTTTCTGGAAGCCCAGAGGCAGTCCCCAGGGAATGAGTCATTCTTTGTGTTTCCAAAATGAAAAGAGCTGATTTTTTCCCCCCAGTTATAAAAATACTACCAAGGGCTGGAGGCGGAGTTCAGTGGTAGAGCCTAATCCTTGAGATCCTGGGGCCCTGGGTTCAGCCCCAACACCAGGAAAAACAAAAACACCAAACTACCAGGCCAGGTACTGGGGCATGTGCCTGTGGTGCCAGCTGCCTGTGCAGCTGAGGCAGGATTGCTTGAGCCCAGCCTGGGAACATAGCGAGACCCCATCTCAAAACAAAAATATTACATATTTGTCATGAAAGAGGAATTCAGTAGTAATAGAAAAAGGAAAAATCGAGTTATCTGTGTGTGTGTAAAGATTCCATCTGTTTGTTGTCTGCCATTGCCTGCAAAAAGAAGCAGGCTTTTTCTGGAATATTTTTCTGCCTTCCTTTGGTGAATATCTTTGAACCCCCAGCTCAGATGTGTCTGCTTCAGGTTGGGGTTGACCCCTCAATAGGGCCTGGCAGAGTCAGTTGTGGGCCAGTGGGGCGTGGGCTTAGGCCAACCTGGGGCAGACAGGGTCAGGTTGGGCCTGTATCTTCCCAGCTGCCTGCCATTCAGCAAGTTCCTTGGCCTCCGCACTGAAGCATCCCCGCCTCCATCCCGTCCGGTTGTCTCTGGCAGGGGAAATGGTCCTGGGCTGGGGTGGTGGTGGCTGCAGCCCCAGGTATAAGCGTGGTGTCTCAGTACACCCAGGCGGCGGGTTCCAGGCCTCTCCTGGACACCCAGACCCACGTGGGTGCTCGGGTCCCTCGTGGACTAGGATCCCCATGGCACCCGTGCACGCCCCCAGTGGACGATCAGCCCTCCCTAGAGTCAGGAGACCCCGCGCGGCTGCCATGCGGTGTGCAGAGTTGGTTCGCTGTGTTGTTTGAGGAGTAATAACAACAAAATCCATGTCTCCAGTACAGACACAATTTTATTTTCTTCAAATATTTTCCATCTGCATTTGGTTGGGTACCCCTGATGCAGAGGCCAGTCACAGGCGCAGAGGCATCTCGGACACCGTGTGGTCGAGTAGAAAATGCAGGCGACACAGGGACCCGTGTTGTGATGCTGTCTGTAAACCCGAAGGCAGGGCCCTGCTCTGTACTGGGTGTGGGTAAATGTAGCAAGAGTTGTGAAGAAATGACCAGAACGGTCAGCACCAAGGCCAGGTGGCAGCTGCCTCTGTGAGGGGAGGGCATGAGACTCCTGGTCCAAGAGGTGGGTGTGTGTGGTGGGGTGGGCTGAGGGAGGAGAGGCGCTGTCGTTTGGGGTGGTCCAGGTTCGCTCCTGCACTCCCAAGGGGCATTGGGGGTGCTGGTCAGACAAGTCACGTGACTTTGTTTGCCTTGCAGCTTCCCTTATCGCTGCTGAAGACAGCTCAGAACCACCCCATGGTGAGTAGGTGCTGGGCTAAGGTGGCCTGTTCAGAGGGGACATGTTGAGGGTGGAGACAGGCCCCTCTGGATGGGGGATTTCCTGCTTGTCTGAACACCAAGGCTCGTTCTCTCTTCCCTCCCAACTATGTTCACACCCAAGATGTTTCTGCTCCTTAGGAAGGTGGCACGTGCTGCCATGCGCAGTGGCAGCTTGTGATCCCCGTCCCTTGAGCAGCCAGGGCAAGAGAATTTGGTTAAAGGTCAGCCTGGGCAACTTAGCGAGATCCTTAGCAGCTCAGTAGTGGAGCACCACTGGGTTCAGCCCCCGCAGACATAAGGGAATCAGGGGATGGACTTTGCTCCCGAAACTACTTCTGTCTTCAATAACACACGTGGCCGCTGTCCACATCAGTGAGCTGTTTCTCTTTTACATTTTTTTCTTCAAGTGTAACCAACACGCCACACAGCGGAGCCGGCTCCACTGTGTGTTCCTTTGCTGCTGGAGCTCCCTCAGGCCTGGCCTCGGCACGTACCCTGGTGTCTGCCTTGAAACATACAATGCAGTGGCGTTAGCACACGCACAGCTTGGGAAGAACATTCGTGGCCCCCAGAAGAGACCCTGTCCCCATTAGCAGTCACTCCATTTCCCTTCCCCAGCCTAGTACAGCTACTGATCTGCTTTCTGTTCCGGGTGCACAAGTTCTGGACATTCCATATGAACATGGGATGGAGAACATGTGGCCTTTCGTGTCTGGCCTCCTTCATGGACATTGTGTTCTTGAGGTTCACCCTGTGATAGTGTCAGTGCTCCATTGTGGCCAGATGACATTCCATTGTAGGCAGACCACATTGTGTTCACACATTTATCTGTTAATGGGCTTTCTAACGATGTCCACTCTTGCGCTGTTGCAAATAGTGTCATTGCAAATACACATCTTTATTCATGTTGTTTCTCTTGGGCAGAGATCACAGTTGATTTTTTTTTTTTTTTGGTGGTGCTGGGGCTGGAACCCAGGGTCTTGTGCATCTTGTGCGTGTTAGGTACCTGCTAGCCACTGAGCAGTGCCCCCCACTGTGATTCTTTTTTTTTTTTTTCTCTCAGTCTCAGCCTTTCCCCAGCAGTAGCATATTTAGAATGATGTGCTACTTACCTTTGTCCTCAAACCACATCAAAAAAGGCAATTATTGTTGCTGTGAGGAACAGCATTTCCAGGCCACCAAAGTCCACATAGTCAGGCGTGGTGACGCACACCTATAATCCCAGCAGCTCTGGAGGCTGAGGCAGGAGGATTGTGAGTTCAAAGCCAGCCTCAGCAAAAGCAAGGTGCTAAGCAACTCAGTGAGACCGTCTCTAAATAAAATACAAAATAGGGCTGGGGATGTGGCTCAGTGGTTGAGTGCCCTGAGTTCAATCCCTGGTACCCAAGAAAGAAATAAAAATTTTAAAAACCAGTGGTTAAGTGCATCTTGGCTTTAATCTCTATTTTTTAAGTTTTAAAATATTTTTATTAAATATTTATTCAATATGAAGTTTTTTTTTAATATTTATTTTTTAGGTGTAGATGGACACAACACAATGCCTTTATTTTTATGAGGTGCTGAGGATCGAACCCGGGTCCTGACCGTGCTAGGCGAGCGCTCTACCGCTGAGCCATAATCCTAGCCCCCCAATATGAAGTTTTATTTATTTAATTTGATTTATTTGTGGTGCTGGGACTTGAGCCCAGGGCCTCAGGCCTGATAAGCATGTGCCCTGCCACTGACCTGTGCTCCTGACCCTAACCTGTGCTCCTAACTCCTGGATTTGAACCCCAGGACCACAAATGGGGGGGTGGTAGGCAAGTGCATGCCACTGAATTCTATCCCCAGCCTTTTTTATTTTTAATTTCAAGACAGGGTCTCATTAAGTTGCTGAGGCTGGCCTTGAATGTGCCACCCTCCTGCATCAGCCTCTCAAATTGCTGGGATTGCAGTTTGATTGCAGGCATTCGCTGCTGCACTGGGCTTAAAAGATTTTTTTTTAATGAATATATGAATATACAACCAGTGTCACTCCACATTGTGGACAACCACAAGAAGGGGAGGTTAGACTTCAAGTTTGCCTGATACGTCAGAACACATTCCACTGTCGTGTATATCTAAAAAGAACAAATAAAGGCTTTTTTTTTAAAAAGGCCATCTGGAGCCGGGGGTGTGGCACACACCTGTTATCCCAGCAGCTCAGGAGGCTGAGGCAGGAGGATGGCGAGTTCAAAGCCAGCCTCAGTAAAAGCGAGGTGCTGAGCAGCTCAGTGAGACCCTGTCTCTAAATAAAATACAAAATAGGGCTCAGGATGGGACTCAGGGGTCGAATGCCCAAGTTCAATTGTCTGTACCCCACCCCCGAAAAAAAAGGCCATCTAGAAAGAAAAAGTAAGTTTTAATCAAATAAAAGTCACTGTCCCCTGGGGCTGGAGATGTGGCTCAAGCGGAATCGCGCTCGCCTGGCATGCTCGGGGCGCTGGGTTCGATCCTCAGCACCACATAAAAATAAAAAATAAATATGTTGTGTCCACTGAAAACTAAAAAATAAATATTAAAAAAAAAAGTCACTGTCCTCATAGAAGGTCTGACGTCATCTCCACGGTGTGCAGAGCAAGCCGAGCTTGTCCTCAGGAAGGACCACTCTGGGGTCTGGTGCTGCAGCCCTGCCCTGCGGGGGTCCCAACAAGGCCCTGGCGGTGGTTGCCAGTGGGACTGGGGCCAATGACCATCGTCCATTTCCCTTCTAGTTGGTGGAGCTCAAGAATGGGGAGACGTACAATGGGCACCTGGTGAGCTGTGACAACTGGATGAACATCAACCTGCGGGAGGTGATCTGCACGTCCAGGGTGAGGGCCCGGCCATCCCTGGAAGCGGTGGGGGAGGTGGCAGGGAGGGCGGAGGCCGTGCACCGATCGAGCGGTTTGGCAAGGGCCACCTTCGAGCCGGCAGCACTGTCGTGGGGTGGGGACTGGGTGGGCGCAGCATCCGGAGTGCACGCTGCCACCCAGCATTCTCACTTCCCAGTGGGCGGGAGCCCTGCGTGGGCCTTGTGGAAGGGTGACAGGAACCTTCAGCTACTGCTGAGGGCGGGGAGGAGTGGTGGGACAGCGTCTGGCCAGGCCTCGAGTCCCTGAAGCACCTGGGCCTTACACCTGTGGCACAGGAAAGCTGCCCTGTCGGGTGCTGACCACCCAGGTCATTCTGCCCACCTGCGTCGGCCACTATGTCTGTGGGGGCCACCCTTGGCCTAGAAGGACTTAGGCCTGGGGGCACTTACGGCACATGCATGGCTGTGTGGCAGGGGCAGCTACCTCCATGGGAGGACTGACCCTCCCTGTCCACCTCTGCTGCCTTCAGCTGTGGATGCTGTCTGGACTCTGAGGGGCCACGTGTCAGGAAATGTCCAAGCCACTGCGGGGGGCAGCACCAAGGCCGAATGGCCCCAAGCCTCTGGCCAGTCCCTGAACCAGGAAGTGCCTCACTGGGAGCAGCGCTTGGCGAGTTTGGGCTGGGAGACTGCTCCCCAGGGAAACCAGGCCTCCACCACTCTTGACATGACCCAGATGGCACTGACAAGAAGGACGGGTGGGGACAGCTGCTCCTTCCCATCAACCTGTGCTGATCTCTGTCCTCCCCATAGTTTGGGGGAGGAAGTGGTGGAGGGGAGAACAAGAGTGTCACCCAGGACTCACCTTGACAGAAGACAGTAGAATGTAAGAAGGGGGCCATTTGCCAGGTGTGGTGGCGCATGCCTGTCATCCCCGAGACTCAGGAGGCTGAGGCAGGAGGATCATGAGTTCAAAGCCAGTCTCAGCGACTTAGCGAGGCCATAGGCAACTTAGTGAGACCCAGTCTCTAAATAAAATATAAAAAGGGCTGGGGGTGTGGCTTTGTGGTTAAGTGCCCCTGGGTTCCATCCGCAATACCAAAAAAAAACAGAAGGGGGCCATCTCTCATCTGGATGGGCAGGCGCAGGGTGGCCCCTCTGTCGTAGACAGGCTTCTTGTGTCAGCACTGGGTGGGGGCCCTGGGTGGGGGTTCTGTGGTGGGCTGCTAGTAGTGCCTCCTGGTTTTCATGCCATGCTCTTCAGCGGGTCTTGATGTGTCCACTTGGTTGTGATGGACAGTGCCATGTGAATGGCCACACTGTGTGTCTGTGTCATTCTGTGTGTAGCTGGCAGCTCTTGTCTACCTTCAGGCCTTGGAATCACCGTGTGTCAAAGGGCGAGAGCCCCTAGTGTGCTATTGACGCCTCCAGGTTCTGTGCCCTTAGCTCAGGCTGGATAATCCCCGGGGTTCGTCAGGCCTCCGCAACCTGCTCAGAGGGCCGCTGGGCTTCCCCTGAGCAGCCCTGCCCCAGCACCCGCAGTGGGCCCCGCCCACCTCGGTGGCAGGCACACAATGTGGAGACCCTCGGAGCTGGAAACCTGGGGAGGTGGGAGGCTGTGGGCTCCCTGCTTTTAACCAGGCCCTGTGCCCAGGTCCCCAACTCTCCATCCACACAAGGACGGGACTCAGGCCGAGGGAGCCGAGCACCGCAGGCAGCCTGCACCCTGAGCTTCCTCTGAAGGCCTGTGTGTCTGGGTGGGCGTGGCCTCCCACCCCCTCTTCTTTCTTTTCCCCAGAAACACCTACTCATTTGTTTTGGAAAGCAGATACACATTCAGGGAAGATGTGAGCTCTTGTCAGGGAAAAGACGTCTTTGGGGGTAAAGTAAGAAAGGGAGAACATGGGTTCAAGGGAGAACATGGGTCATGGGGGTCAGCAGGAGCCCGCTACCCCCCCAGGAGAGTGAATGTCCAGAGACCTTGGGAGGTTCCTGTGCTCCTGGGAAGACATGGTGCCCTTGCAGCCCATCTGTCCCTGCCAGGTCCCTCCACTGGCTGGACCAGACAGACCTAAGCACCAAGGAGTGTGGGTGACAGGAAACCGAGGGTTTGGGACAATGGGGACTGCTGAGGGCTAGGGCTATCTGGAGAGGAAAGGCAGGGACAGCACGTGGGAAGCCCTGGGAGCAACCTGGGTATGTGCTCCCTGTGGAAGGAGTGGCAAGGGCTGGGGGGCGGGCAGCCAGCAAGGCTGGCCCCAGACCTCTGCAGCCATGCTGGGGACCTGGACCTCTTCTGTGGTTCCGGGGTGAGGCGCCAGCAGGAAGCTGCTGTGGTCTGCTGTCTGGAGGTGAAGGGAGGGAGGCGGCCACCTGGTTTGCATCTGTCCACAGGTGGGGCTGGGAAATGGGGCCGAACTCATCTGATAGAAGCAGCCCCAGGGCAGGGGGAGGGGGACAGGGAAGGGCAGGCCAGTGCTTGCTGGGTGTGTCCTGATGTGGGAGGCAGTTGGCTGCTGGGTCCTCAGGGTTGACGTCGAGGGTTTAGGCCTCATTTTGCTCCCTGTCCTCAGTTGGCTTCTCTGAAAACTGGCATCACTTGGGCTGGGGATGTGGCTCAAGCGGTAGCGCGCTCGCCTGCCATGCGTGCGGCCCGGGTTCGATCCTCAGCACCACATACAAACAAAGATGTTGTGTCCGCCGAAAACTAAAAATAAATATTTAAAAAAAAATCCTTCTCTCTCTCCCTCCCCCCACCTCTCTCTCTCTCTCTCTTTAAAAAAAAAAAAATGGCATCACCGAAAGCTGTCCTCACCCACCCTCTTCACGAACCGCACAGGGTCACTGCGGTACTGCCCTTTGTCTCTGTGCCCAGCTCAGCCCTGCTGAGATCAGTCTTGGGTGAATGAAGGAGTGGGGGCCTACAGAGAGGGTCCCACGTGGAAGGTGGGGCTGGGGCAGCATTTGGTGTCGGGGAACCCCTCACCCCTCTGGGCTTTGGGCTGCAGATAAAAAGCTTCAGCTCAGATTGGCAGAGCCTTGGCTTAGACTGGGGAGGGCGCCGTCCCAGCCTGGGGGAACCCCATCCCACCAGCCAGGCCCAGGACCGGAGAAGCTGTCTTCCTGCAGCCTCGGGTCCCTCCTCAGTATGGAGCTGGGAGTCGGGAGAGAGCCCTCCTGGAGGCTGGACCCCTCCCGCAGCTTCCATGGGGGACCAGAGCTCCCTGAGGTGGGAACAGATGATGTGCCGGCCAGCTGAGCCCCCATGGGACCGCCCCCCTGAGCGGGTCTGAGACCCCTACCAGGACTGGGCCTGCAGAGGTGAGTGACCCCAACCTCTTCCTCACACAGGATGGGGACAAGTTCTGGCGGATGCCCGAGTGCTACATTCGAGGCAGCACCATCAAGTACCTGCGCATCCCCGACGAGATCATCGACATGGTCAAGGAGGAGGTGGTGGCCAAGGGCCGGGGCCGCGGTGGCTTGCAGCAGCAGAAGCAGCAGAAAGGCCGCGGCATGGGGGGCGCTGGGCGAGGTAGGCTCCCTGCCCCCCTCAGTGCCAGGGCCTCCCCACTGTGTGGGGACGAGCACATGGTGTCTGTCCTGCCCGGTGTTGACATTCTTGACTGGTGTCATCACGGGGAGCTGCGTCAGGACAGAGTGGCTGCCAGGGCTCATCTGTGCAGCAGCTGACGGTGCGAGTGTTGCCACTGACCCTGCCACCTGCCAGGGCCTTCTCCTGGCAGTGGTCCTTGGCACCGCCTGTCAGGGAACAGCTGTGGTAGGGCGCCCCTGCTCGAGGTCCAGCCCTGTGGCTGCCCAGGTCACAGCTGGGGGCGTTAGGAATCAGCCCTGTCCGCTGTGTGGGTCCTGCCATCTTCACGTGGCAGATGCACTGGGCGTGACAGGTCGCCTCCCTGAGCTTCAGTTTCCCCTCTGGAGAGTCTGGTGGTGCCCACCTCTGGCTGCTGGCTCAGGCCTGGCATGGAACCCTGACTACTCTGCAGGAAGCCAAGCCGTACCCTTTTGGGTGGATGCTGGCCTCGCCGCTTCCCCCGCCTGAGATTGTGAGTCTGGCATAAAGTTCAGTTTGTTCCACAGGCAGCTCAGGCCCCACGGACCCTGTCCCTCCCACCCCTCCCAGCCTTGTGCTCGTGAGGCACCTGGGTTGTGTCCACCACTGTAGGACACCTGTATGCCTGGCGGGGCTCCCGGCAAAGCAGGGTTCACTGGGAGTGCAAGTAGCTCACTGGGGGACCGCAGCTGGAAAGGGCACTGGAGCCAGCCCTGAGCCAAGGCTCATGAGATAGTCAGGAGCAGCTGGGAGAAGGGGCAGGAGGGCGAGGGGAGCAGGACCCCTGGAGTCCCGGCCCAGCAGAGTTGGTTCTGCTGCTGAGATGTAAGGTCGAGCAGCTTGTGCTGGCGTTGTCCTCTGTCCCCACAGTGCCCAGGGCCCATCACTGGCGAGAGTCTTGGCTCCCGAGTCTCAGCAAAGCCGGGATGACCCTGTCTTCACAGGTGGAGGGTTCCAGAGGAGGTGGGGATTCTTGTCTCCAGACCACAGTTCGGGGCCTCCAGCCCAGCAGGCTCTGCAGAGGGGCCCGACAGTGGCACTGCATGTGGCTCAGGTGCTCAGTGAATGGCACTGGTTGGTGACAGCCTTCCTGGGGTTCCGAGCTCTGGCTGGGCTGCTTGAGTGTGTGTGCCCTGCATAGCTGGCTGCACTGGGGCACGTGGGGGGCCTGAAGCAGTGCCTGGCACCCCTGGGGCAATATCAGCCCTTGTCACAAGGAGAACATTCTCAGGCACCCACCCTCGCTTGCGCGGCAGGTGCTCTGCCTGGGTAGAGGACCTTGGGGGCAGGATTGCTGTCCCTACTTCATAGCTGCAGCTGAGGCTCAGGGGTCCCGTGACATGACCAGAGGCCAAGGCCCTGGGATCCAGCCACAGCCCCTCTTTCTGTCCCACAGGTGTGTTTGGTGGCCGGGGCCGAGGCGGGATCCCTGGCACGGGCCGAGGCCAACCTGAAAAGAAGCCGGGCAGGCAGGCGGGCAAGCAGTGAGCGCCTCCCCACCAAGCCTCGGGCAGCGGTGTGGCTGTCAGCTCCCGGGCCCGGAGAGGAGGGAAGAGCCAGGCGCGGGGACAATGCGCGCTGTATTGCGGGATCCTCTTTAGGTGAAGTCCCCCCATGGGTTTTTTGTTTGTCTTTTAAACCAACGTTGTCGTTGTACGGTTGGGAATGTCGCTGATGTTCTTGGTCCTGGGAGAAGCCCCCTCGGAGGGGAAGGTGCGGCAAGGGCCCTGGAGGCTCGGCCTTCCACCTCCAGCCCCTCGAGCCCAAGAAAGGCGAGTTTTTGTCTGCAGCCCCCAGTCGTCTTGAACGTAGCCCCCAGGTCGCCTTTCCAAACAGCAGGGACAAAGGACGGATGCCACAGAGCCTGTTCCCCTTTGCTTCCTTTCTCTTTGTGTTATAAAAACAAAAACAAGTTCAGTACCAGTGCGACCCCTCATTGCCTTGAGTCACCAGGTAACCTAGTGTGTTGTGTCCACTGTCCCTGGACTCTGGAAATCAGCCCGCGTGAGGGCACTTCCCTTCCAGGGCTGTGGCCCATGTCACCAAGGGGAAGCCTCTCCACAGGACAGGGGCTCCTGTCTCTCCCGTCCTAGGAGAGGCGGCCGGGGCTCGTCCCCCCAGCTTGTGGAGGTGGAGTGCCCTGGGCAGCAGCCAGGCATGGCACCCCTGTGGCCTGGACTCCCCCTGTGCCCGGCTCCTCAGCACCTCCACCCTGGGGTTCACCAAGAGACAAGCTGCGCCGCGGCCACGGCAGGAACTCAACACGATCCCAAGACTTGCCCCGTGTGTGGCGTCCACCTGAGACATGGAGTCAGCACTTTGGAAAAATGCTTCCAGTAGCGTCGTCTGCCCGAGTTTTCCTTCTGTAAGCAGAGGCAGGAGCCGCAGGGCCAGACACCCAGACACGGTCAGCTGTCCCTGCAGGTGCTTTCTGTCCAGTTCCGTGTTGAAGCTGCTCTGAGGGGCCTTGAAGCCAAAGGGGTGCTGCCCTGGGTCCAGTCCTTCTGGGACCTTTTGGGTCCTGTGTCTCACAGGTCTCTGCCTTTAGGATTCTTCTAGCCTGGTGCCCAGGACACTGGCCGTGGCCCTCTTGGGACCTGGTGCTGTGGGAATCCTTTTGCGGTGACAGAGCAGCACTTTTTGAGGGTTGGAGGTAGAGTCATGGGGCCAGCAGGTCTGGGGCAGGCCAGCCCCAAGCCTCACAAAGCCACCTTCCTCCACAGGGACATGGACAGTTGTCGTGGCCCTGGCTTAGACTAGAGCGGACAATCCCAGGGGCCCCTGCTTGCTAGACAGGCAGCCCTTGGCATGGTCCCCCCCTGTGCTGAGGGCCCAGGGGCCTAGGGCAGGGCAGAGGCTCCCCACTCCCAGCCCATAGAGGCCCCTGGGGTCAGCTCTTGGGTGAGGCCCTGATGGAGTCCAGGAGCTCAGGGTCAAGCTCACAGGAAGCCCTGGAGGTCTTTCCCCTCCCCACTGGGCTCTGCCCAGGGTCGCCTCCCTCACCAGGCTGAACCAGAGCGCTCGGAGCCTCTGGCTCCTTTTACTGGCCTCTGGGGATCAGTTAGTGGGTCTTTCAGGGGCTAATCCCCGGTGCCAGGCTGCGTAATCGCGGCTTCTCGCCTGCGTAGCCAGACACGGGAGCCGCTCTGACCTTTCCAGCCAGGCAGCTCCAGGCTCCCAGCCCAGTTCCCCTCTCCCCTGTGACGCGAGCACAGTGCCCTGGCCTGCCCCAGCGGCCTTGCCTCCCCTCCTGAGGTGGTGCAGACGGGCCTCCAGGGCTGCCCCCTCCCGGGCCTGGTGTCAGCACAGCCCAGGTTTCTGTCTCTTCCTGGTTGGTTTTAGAGGATGAGCCTCGGCCTCTGCACAGAAGAGAAACCAAAAGCACCAGCCCAGCTCCTGACCTAGACCTTCCGCGTCTTCCTGCTGGTCCACGGGGCCCGGGTCTGCACCCTGTCACCTGGCCAGAGAGGGGCCCCTCCTGTGCGGGGTTCTCACCCGCCCCCAGGACCTTCTCCCTGGCGCTGGCTTTCTGGCATAGAGGCCCACGCATACGCCCTCGCTGCAGCACAGCGTGACTCAGCCAGAGGCTGAGCTGGGCAGGGCCACCCCCACCCCCGCACACTAGGAGGCACAGCCTGTTTCAGGGACACGTGCAGAGACTGGCTCCCAGGGCAGCAGTAGGAAGTGTCCCCTGCCACTCCCTTACCTGGCCACAGCAGACATCAGGGCTCTGCTGGGCTTCCATGCTGCCCAGAGCCCCTGCCCCCGCATCGCCTCCCCTGCCCCTGCCCCTGCCCCTGCGGCTGGACCTGGGCCCAGCGCATCCTGGCATGGCAGTGAATGTGCCCTGCCATCCCTCCCTGAGGACAGAGGCTGGTGGAGGGTAAACCCAGCACCAACTCGGCCTGATGACCACGGCAGGCGCCAGGGGGACCTGGGGCATCTGCCCTGTCTCCATGCAGTGGCAGCATGGCAGAGCCCCCGCCCTGAAGCCCTCCCCTTCCACCGTGGGCCAGCCGCGGGCACGCCAACTGCTGGGGAAAGAGGAAACTGAGGCCCGGGAGGAGGGTGGCGGCTGCACAGGTGACCAGGGAAGGCCAGGGTGGTTTCTGAGGTTAGGGAAGGCTTGAGGGAGGCCAGGGAGCTAACCATCTGGGAGAAGGACTTCCCAGACAAGGCCCTGTTCCCCAAAGATGGGAGCAAAGCAAGAGGGAAAGGAAATGGGGAAGAGGCAGGCCCTGAGTGACATAGGAACCTTCTAGAACAGCTGGAGGCAAGAAATCAGGAGACCAGAGCAGGCAAGACCAGGGGCTCAACCCAGGGTGCAGGACAGAGGCCCATGGGGTCCAGCACGCTGGGGAGGGACCTCCTTCCCCAGATTGGAGGAGAGGCCCCTGAGGGGGCCTCACTGTCATACCAAGCCCCAAGCATGGGAAGCCCTGGGCTGCTGTGGCCCCTCCGGTGGGCATGGAGCAAGATGTGGTCTGAAACGTCCACCCGGCGTGGGCACGAGCAGGGACTGAGGGTGACGAGCGGAGCCACTCAGCCCCCGCCTCGCCCCTGCTGGTCCCTGTGGGTTTACAAAGCCGCTTCAACTGGCACCTCCGAGGGTCCTCACAGAGAGAAACAGGCTCCAGGGACAGGAGCGGGTGCCCACAGCAGCCAGTGTTTACCTCTCCCCAAGTATGGGCTGAGCAGCTCTGGAATCCACCCCGGGGAGGCATCGCCATTCAGCCCAGGCACAGACAGGGTGAGCAACCTGCCCTGCGTCACACAGCCCACTCCGCTCCCTCTGCAGCCGCCCCAGAGCTCCTCCCTCTGTTGCCTCTTGAATTCAGAGCACCCAGTGACCTCTCCTGACTTAGGTGTGTCAGGCCCAAAATGAGGAGTCCAGAGGTGGCTGGGACGGGCAGGTGAGGTCAGAGATCTGCTCCTGCCTAAAATGCATTCCCCTGGGCTGGGGGTGGAGCTCGGGAGTGGAGCGCTTGCCCAGCACGTAGGAGGCCCTGGGCTCCATCCAGTGCCACAAAAACTAAATTAAAGAAATCACTCTCCTGGTTACAGCATCAGAGAGGCTCAGGGTGCCTGGCAGGTGTGACCCACGTGCCATGGTTTCCTCCCTGGTCAGCAGGGGACACACAGCTTCCCCCACAGGACAGATGCTGGTAACCACCATAGGACCAGCCTGGTATACAGCAAGTGTTCAATAAATGCAGGAAACACTCTGGCAACTTGAGAACACCTGCAGTGTGTCCACACATTCTTGGTTCTAATGCTGTGGGGTTGGTGAGAGGCTCTTCTTGTCCAAGGTGGTTTCCCTGCTGGCCCAGCCCTGGATGGAAGCAATAGCCAGATCACTGTCCTTTGTGACCGGAAGCCTGACCCTGGACCAGTGAGCATTCTCCTTGCAGGCCCAGGATTCTGCCTTGAGAACACCCTCGGGGCCTGGCCCAGCCTCTGGCCACACAGTGACTCACCCCTGCCCCGCCTCCACTGGAACCAGGCACCGAAATAGTCACCCTAGCTTGCTCTCGGGAGTGGCCGTGGAAATATTTCAGGGCTGCGTTCAATGCCTAAAAATAATCTCCGTGTCCCTGAGTGTCTTCCCCTCCCTATTCTCTCTTCTGAACCACATGGGCCAGGACCTTTCACGCCACGCCCCTCGGCCCGTGGAATGTCCCCAGCAAACAGAAGGAGCCCTGGCCTCCCTGTCTCCATGTTGCTGTGGAGCTACTCGGACACTTTCCAGGGCCCTGTCAACCGAGCCTTTCTGAAACCCCAGAAGTCTTTTTGGGGAGAGAAGGCCTGGCCTCAGTGACCTTGTCCAGGGAGACCTGTACTGTTCAAGAGTTCTTCCTTAAGCACTGAAAAATAGTACCAGGCGCAGTGGTGCCCACCTGTGATCCCAGGGCTCAGGAGGCTGAGCAGGAGGATCGAGGGTTCAAAGCCAGCCTCAGCCACTTATTAAAGCCCTAAGCAATTTGGTGAGACCCTGTCTCAAAAAAAATAATAAGAAGGCTGGGGATGCGGTCAGTGGGTAAGTGACCTGGGTTTGATCCCCAGTACAAAAAAAGAAAAATGTTCTGTTTGTATTCACAAGATGACCTGAAGCAGGTCCCCAGCTGGACTGATCTCCACCCCTTTGCCCACCCACTGACCATGAGACCCCATGTAGATCGGGGTCCTTTCCTTCCCCAGGGTGTGTGGACAGTCCCCTCCATGACTTCCAATGTCCTCACCATCATCAACCTCCTGGTCACACTCAGTAGCCCCTGTGGCCTCAACGAGTGGCCAACCACAAGCACTTCAGCTTCCTGGAGACCAGAAGGAGGGGAAGTGGGGGCCAGGGCTAGGGTCCTTCTGCCTTTCAGCCCATCAGTGGGGACCCAGGGTCTCAGTCCTCTGAGGCCACTGGCTGGAGAGCACGGCAGGTGCAGACCCAGGAGCAGGTGCCCCAAGCTGTGGTGGAAAGGCAGCAAGTGGCGGTGACAGAGGAAGCCGGTGGCAGGTGCCCCAAGATGGCCTCCTTTCTCACTCCTCCCTGGGCAGGTGACAGAGCCAGGTCCCTGAACCCACACATTTCACGCTTTTTTTTCCCCCTTTGGTACCAAGGATGGAACCCAGGGGCACTCAGCCACTGAACCACACCCCCAGCCCTTTTTTATATTATTTAGAGAGAGGGTCTCACTGAGTTGCTGAGGCTGGCCTTGAGTTCGCCATCCTCCTGCCTCAGCCTCCGGAGCCGCTGGATCCCAGGTGCAGGAATGCACCTCCCTTCTCCCAGTACTGGGGACTGAGCCCAAGGGCGCTCTTCCCCCAGCTCCATCCCCAGCCATTGTTATGTTATTTTTACCTGAGGACAGGGTCTGGCTAGTTGCTGATGCTGGCCTTGAACTTGCTATCCTCTTGCCTTAGCCTCTCCGGTTGCTGGGTTTACAGGTGTGTGCCACTGTGGCAAGATTTCCTTAGTTTTAATCTCAAATGTAATGTTCCTGTTTGTAAAAACTGAGGTTAAGAGTCTCAACATGAAATTAACTTTTTTTTTTTTTTTTGGTGCTGGGGAGGGAACTAAGCAAGCACTCTACCACGGAGCCACACCCCAAGCCTCCAATTTTTCGACACTTTTGGGTTCCAGCCACACTATCGCATGGGCCAGGGCTCCATTCCTCCTTCTTTGAACCCAGGGGCATTTTGCCACGGAGCCACATCCCCAGCCCTGTCTTAGTTTTTAGTTTTGAGACAGCCGTGCGCCACTGCCCGGCCCCATTCCTCCTTGTGGCCGAATTATATTCTGTTACAAGGACAGGCCACAGTTTTGCCTTTCGTTTTTGCGGTGCTGGGGATGGAACCCAGGGCCTCGCACCCACAAGGCAAGCGCTGTGCCACTGTGCTGCCTCCCAGCCCAGATCACGTGTATTTACCCTTCTTTTGCTGAGGGACGTTCAGGCTGTTTGGATGGGAGTGTATGTTGAGGGTTAGGTGCAGTTCAAGTGCTTAATCCCCACCCCCAGCTTTAAAGTCATACACTATGAAATGCTCATTTGCACAGTTTTTCTTTGGGGAAATAAAGGTACAAGCCAAAAAGGAAACAGGCCATCTCCTAGGCTTTTATACTCTAAAGATGGAGTAGAGACAGAAAATAGGGAAAGCAAGAATGAAATACCATAAATGCCAGGTGAAGAACCAAAAGATCTTCCAGGCAGTGGGACGTGCAAAGGCCCTGAGGTAGGCAGAAGCTGATGTGGCTGGAAGTAGGTCAAGTTGGGGGGAGAGGGGAGGAGAGGGACAGATAGGGCCTGCAGGCTGTGGGAAAGAGTCTAAGATGTACTCTGAGGTGGGGAAACAGGGAGACTGAGACTCAGGGAGAGAGAGGGAGAGAGACTGGGAGCCCAAGGAAGAGATGGGGACTTAGCATCTTGAGATCTGGGCCCCAATGGCCAAGAAGGCTTCAGCTGTGTCTTGCAGCCCACCCCAGACCCCTCTGCGGTACTCTGACTTCACTAGCACAGGCAACCACCCAGCACCCAGAACAGTGTGGGCATACAGTAGGCACTCTATAGATGTTGGATGAATGGGTAAACAGAGGGATGGACAGATGAGTGGATGTGGATGGAGAAATGGATGGGCTGGGTGGGTGGATGGATGAGCAGGTGGGTAGATGAATGGACGGTGGAGGAAGACTCGGTGCCGAGGTCATGGCCCTGAGAAGCTGCATTTCCCACCGTCCAGCAGGAGCCTGGGCAGTGGCCTGTGCGGTGGTGGGTGGAGGGACAGCAAAGCCAGCCTCAGGGGCCCAGCTCTCTGCTGTAGCCTCATAAGATCTGGGTGGAGGCTGTGGGGTGGGCAGAGCAGGTGCTGCGCACAGGCCAGGCAGGGGCGGCCGGCGGGTACCAGATGCTGCTACTGCCTCTGCCGCTGAGTCAGTGTCACCATGGCAACTCGGCCTGCAGGGTGCTCCTGGGCACACCCCCTCACTGCAGCCACCACCACAGCCGCCTCCTGGCAGGGGCAGGGGGAGCGAGCTCCGGGCCTAGAGCTCTGGGCCCGGTTCCCGGCAGCCTGGGGACCACATGCTGCCCTCCCACCCCCTTCACAGCCCCTCCATCTCCTGGGATTGGACAGGGTGGGGTCCCCAGATGAGGACAAGATCTGCTTACTAGATATGAAGAAGTGGCTACAGTTGGGGGGGCGAAGGGGAGAGGGGCCTCAGTAAGGAGCCACAGTAGGTATGGAGAGGTGGGGGGTGGTAACGCAGCTATCCCCAAACCTGAGCCCCCCGTCTCCTCTGGGGCATGGATGCTCATGGGGAAACCGAGGCAGGGAGAGACGCCACGGGCTCCACCTGGGATGGCAAGGACTTGAACTACTCTCTACCGGCTGTAGAGGATTGGGGTACCCCTGTGACCCCACCTCCTCTCATCGCTGCTCACCCGACTGACTCAGGACCCCTCCTTGATAATCCTCCAACACTCCCCAAATCCCTACTCCAGGGCCTTTGCACAAGCTCTTCCAGCTCCACAGCCCCTTCCCTCTGGTATCTTCCAGGTACCCTCTCTGCTGACGTCAAAGACTCTCTGAATCCCCTCCCTCTCGGGATTGGGCAACCAGGTGGTGATGTGCCCGTGTCTGGCCCCTCCAACATGACCCAGAGCTGGAGGAACAGGGCAAGGACTTGGGGAGACCGATAGCTCCCTGGGCAGGGTTGACCCTCCATTGGGGCCACAAGACCCCATCAGACACCAGCAATCAGGGATCAAATCAGGCCAGGCGGCCAAGCCCCAGGGCTGGAGTCACCTCCATGGCCTCCTCCTCCAGGGCACCTGCCCGATGCCTCCAGGCCACACTGGGGCCTCCACCTCCCACTGATCATCTGGAGTCACCGAGTCCCCCCAGCCCTGGCGTGCTGCCCTGGCTAAGTCCCTTTACCTTGGCCATAGAGAAATATTTATATGGTCACCTCTTTTTGCTAAGGGGTGGTGTCATGTCCTCGGCCAAGGGCTGTGGTCCCTTCGCAAAACATGGATCTGGTTAAAAAACGATCATGTGTCTCATTTTGTTTGTGTCTTGGTCTGGGGATTGAATTCGGGCCTCATACATGCTAAGCAGAGGCTGGGTCACCCCTGAGCCCCAGTCCTCCCAGTCCTGTCCCCCGCTGGCCCTGCCTTCTCCGGCCCTTGTCCCCTCTCACCTGCTTTCTCCCGGCACTCCGGGCCTCTCTTTCTCTGGCTCCTATAATTTTCCTCCCTCCTAGTCCCCCTCTCTCCTCCATCTCCTTCATTTCCTATCTCTTTATCTCCCCGGGTCACTAACTAGCTGTCCTATCCGGCTGTCACTGTGCTCTGGGGCTCCCATCAGGTCTAGCCCAGCCCTGCAGAGCTCGGTGGGGCCTTGGCCTCCACCCATCTGCCCATTTTTCCCAGGTCTTGGCCGAGGGCCAGAAGGGCGCCCTGCGGGGGAAGGGGAAATTCCAGCGGCCCAAAGCCAGTCCCCTCCCCTGCTCAGAGTCCCCTCCAGGGCGCCGGCGGGAAAGGGGTTAACCCGGGAAGGGGTTAACTGCGCGCAGTCCCCTCCCCCCAGCCCTGCATTTAATTAGCCGCCCAGGCAGGGAGGGTGGGAGGAAGGGAGGGAGGGGGAGGGGAGGGGCGAGGCGGGGCGGAGGCCGCTGGAGGGGATGGGGGGGGAGGCCGGGAGCCTGGAACCCACCCTGGATTCGAGTCTCGCCTGGCTGCTTCCCCCACTTAAGCCTCTGCCACTCGGTTCTCTGCCATCCCCTCTCGGCGGCCCAGCGGAGCGCCGGCGGCTGGCGTCACTTGTCCCCCCAGCTGTTCTGGGGAAACTGAGGCTCACGCAGCCTGGCCACTGGCCAGGACGCAGCTGGGGGCAAACGTTTATTTGGGCGGTTTTGCAGGGATTTGTCTGCGCACTGGAAAGCAAACCCCAAACCCACGTACCCGCCCCCACGTTCCTCCAGTCCCCGGAGCTGGGGGAACATGAGGCGGCGGAGGGGACCAGGTGGCCTGCAGCCCGGGCTTGAGTACCAGTCAAGCTGGGCCCCTCCTGGTGCCTCGGGCTCCCCTCTGCGTGGCGCGCACGACAGCGCTGGAGGACACACTCCCCCGACTCTCGCTGTGGGTCTCCGGCGCCGCGTGGGTTGCGGCCCCGAGGCCCAAACGTCCGCGTCTTCGCCGAGCCCTGACGTCGCGCTGACGCCACCAGCCCCCCTCCCCGCGGGGTCCGGCAGCCCAGAGTGGTTAACTCTTCCGCTGCCACACGAGACCCCCAGGGTCCTTTCTCCCTCCACCCGCTCCCTGCCCGGAGAGGGTCCGGGCTGGGCCCCGACGTCGGAGTGTCCTGGGCGGACCTGGTAGACAGGCCCTTAGCCCGGGCTGTTCCCTTCGCCTGGAATGCGGCTCCAGTCCCAGGTCAAGCCCGTGTTTACTGTGACTTCGCTCCCTCCCGCCGGGCCCTGACCCCTCCGAGGCTGGGCGTGACCGCGTCTGGCTGGATCTCCCGGGCCCGGGGTGGGTCCTCCCCTCAGCCACTTGCTGTTTCAAGGTCAGTTTCTTCCCATTTTTCAGATTAGAACCAACAAAGTTCAGGGAACTTAAGGACGTCACCTAGAGAGGGGCAGAAAGCCCGGGCCCCAGCTCTGGCGGATCCCTGCCCCCACCCCATGCGGTGGCGGGGACTGTCTCGCAGCCGGGGAGAGGACCCCCGCAGGCCCCGCCCTGCCCCAGGGGAAGTGAGACTAGGAGCCCTCCCCCGCATTCTCGCCACTTCCTCCCGGGGAGCGGCGGCGGCGGCGGGGAGAGGGAGGAGGTGGGGACGGCCTGGGAGTTCAGGGAACCTGCCTTGGGTCGGGGACGGGGGTCCCTCCATGATGACCCTATGATTTGGTAGAAGACTGGCGCTAGATGCCCCACGCGCTTGGGCTGAGGGATGGCAAATCTGCTCCTTCCTTGAGGCCCTTCTTAAGCGACCTGTTGTCTGTTTTGATTCCCTCAGTGTCCTCCCCAGCTGGGTCCCAGAGCCTTCCATCCTATCTTCCCCTTCTGCTCTCCCGCTCCTACGCCACCGCTGTGATGCATCCCTGGTCTTCCCTGGGCGGGGGTGGAGGGGACCTGGATCCCTCTGCGCTCCAGAGATTGAAGGCATGCTTTGCTCAGAGCCTCAGTTTCTCTGCTGGGGACAAACATCCCTCCAAGGGAACAATGTCTGGAAGACGTTTCCCAGTTTGGCAGCAGGGATACACTTGCTCATCCGTTGCTTCATTCACTCCTGCTGCTCGGTGCCGTCCTGTCACCTCCTCCTTCATTCACAAACCGCAGGCTGCCTAGGAAGGACTCAGTGGCTCACAGATATGTGGGTGGGGACAGCCCCAAGACCAGAGGTGGGATCTTCCATTTTACTAAACTAACCTGAATCCTCCCCAGAGAGGCCCGGCAAGGTCCCCAGAGGCAGCAGCCTGTCACTTCAGTCTCTGCTGGAAAGGGGTCTGCACCTCTCTGAGCCATCCATAGAAGCCTGCGCAGTGACGCAGGCCAGGCCCACGGTAGTAGATCACCAGAGTGCTCCCTCAACTCCTGAGTTCCAGTGTCAACTAGTCAGACACTGTGAGGACCTCCCATGTGCTGGGGCCACTGAACAGGCCCCTCTGGCTATGCATTCTCACCTTCCTGGACTGGCCTCCCTCCTTGAATGCCACTCAGACATCCAGGCCTCGGCCCAAGTGTCCCTGAGGACAGAATGCCTGGGCTCATCATTTGTTGTTTTTTTTTCAGTTTCCTTCTATTTATGGCAAGAGAAAACGATTTTCCATTCCTGGCGGTGACACGAAGATCCCCTTTTGAAATATATTGAAATAGAAACAGAAAAGGGGGTAGAGAGTGACATGGACCTAAAGGGTGCTCCTTGGCTATGATTACTTCCTGTAACTCCCCGCTCAGCTCTAGGAGGGCTGGGGGCTGAAGAGCTGGGCCCAGCATGCCCAGCACAGGCGCACCAGGGACTGTCCAATGAGCCAACCATGATGCCCCCAACCCAAATCCAACTGACTCCTCAAGGTGATCTAGTAACAGTGGATTCCTGATCTTCTGACCAACACCTACACACACCTGCTGGACCCCAACATCTGAACCTGTGAAAGGACCTAACCCCACTGGTGCATACAGCAAGTGCACATTCAGTGCACGCTGGGGGAACGCAGGCACTGCTCCTAGGAGCTCTTTCCTCCAGGTGCTAGAGACCTAAGGCTGGAGTCCTTCAGTCCCTTCACAAACACTGATCTGCGCCACTCCTTGAAGCCTTTGAGGAGGCTGGGGACACCACAGTCTCAGGGACAACTGGACTCTGTTGTCATCAAAGCGGGATGTGTCAGGTCCAATCAATGTCCAAGGGCCTGCTGCGCCCGCTGCCTTATTGTAATATGGTCTTCCGAGGCTGAAGGAGCCGGTGCCACCCAAAGGGCAGAAGCTGGGTCCCCTCCATAGGGCTAGTCAAACACCTGCACAGGGACGGACAGGACGGCGGTTGCGGCTCCAGGGGAGGGCGGAAGTGGGGCGGTGGCGAGGGGGGAGCCGCAGCCCTCCGCGGTAACCTGATCCTCAGGAATGCGCCGAGGCCAGACGCGCCCCCAGCCCCAGGCCGCGGCCCCTCCCCCAGCCACCCCACGGGATCCTGCCACCTGGGGGACTGTTCTCCGCCCCCAAGCCCTGCCCCCACTAGCCAGTTTGTTTTCAGTGCAGAGTTACCCTGTCCCGGCCCTGCAGGGTCCTGAGCTCTGGGGGACCATCCCCAGCAAGCCCCGCCCCCAGGAGGCCCCCTTGCCTCATCCCCCTTCTGCTCCTCTAACTCCTATTCTTTCCTCTCCCGGGGATTTTCCGTTTTATCAAGTTGATGGTAGGTCTCTGGGTGTTGAGTAAAGACTGAAAATTCAGCCCAGTGGCAGATCACTCTAAACCAGAAGGTCAGTGTCTTAGTACTGGGCGGCGCAGAGGTCAGAACCTGGGCTGGCGAGACAGAAGGGGGAGGGCACATCAGATTCAGTGTCTGGAAGGCCAGGTCCCTCTCCAGCCCTGGCTGGGGGAGCCCAGGCAGGTCAGGTCGCCAGTCCTCCGCAGACAACTGCTCTGGGAAATCCGATTAAAATCTCTCACAACTTGCTGGGAAGATAAAAGTAAAAATATGGACTCCAGGGCTGAGCCTGCTTAATGTCCCTTCCTCCAGCCTCATCTGGGACCCCACTGATTTTGGGACAAATACCACTTGGTGTTTGGTGAAGGCCTCACCACCTCTTTTCCACTTTGGCTCTGTGGCTGCCAATTTAATCCAGTCTTGCTGCCCCCCAGCTCTCCATCAAGGCGAAATGCTGGTCCTTGCCCCGGGCCTTTGCACTTGCTGAACCTACTGCCTGGGACACTGATTCCCCATTACTTGGTTATTTGCTCCAACTTCTCTTTCAGCATCGTCTTCTAGGGTGCCCCTCACACACTAACACACTCTAAGACATCCTCTGCTTTACCAATGAGGCCACCATTTATTCTCCCAAAGGCTGCAATTATATTCCTGTTAGTCTGAGTGTGGGGAGGGTATGGAGGTTTGTCTCAATGTGTGTCCAAGCCAGTGCATGTGGAATAAGTGAGTTATCCCTAGTTCACTGCATGGATTAAGCACACTCCCACCTTGTCTCAGGAAATCCCTGTCTCTGAGGGACCCCCAGTCTGGGAGGACTAAAGCTGGACAAGATAGCTGTTCCTCAATCAACTTTATGGGATCAAGTTTGGGACAAATGGAGGGATGAGAATGGAATATCTTGGAGGGCTCCCTAGCTGGGAGGAAGAAGAGGGCAGGGAAGGGGATTGGGCAGAGGGAACAGCAACTCAGGCAGAGGAACCCACAGAAGGGGGATAGACAGGCTGGCTGCCCAGGGCAGTTCTCTATACTGAGGCCACGACCTCCCCTCTCCCTGTCTGGGAGAGCAAGGTTTGCTGCAGATAGAGGACGGGTTTAGCCAACCTTGGAGTCTAAGGGGACTCCTAGGAGGCATGATTAGGAAAGGCTTCTTGAGAGGAAGCAGTGGAGGCAGGTTTTGAAGGATGAGTAGGAAGGAGTTTGCCAAGAAGCTATGTAAAGGCAGTCCAAGCTAAGAGAACACAGACCCAAATGACTGCAGTTCAGTTTGGCCAAGTAATAATGAAGCAAAACAGTTATTGAATCCTTACTTTTTTTTCAAATCCTCCCTATAAAACAGTCCATGTGGTAAGTAAGCTTATTCACTCCTTTTTCTTAAGGCTGGAACCGAGGCTCACCAAGACAACACTTTGGCCTCTGAAGGCCTACTTGCCTTGAGAAAGGTCACTTGGCCCAGGCTGGCTTGGCCCACAGTTCATCCCCCCACCTGCCAAGGTCAGGACTACACCTCCTTGGCCTCCTACTCAATCCAGACTCTTAGAGAAACACCACCCATCTCTTTCAATCTAGTCCCACTACCATAGCTCAGACTGAGGCCCCAGGACAGGGATGTCTGGAGGCCAGGGGCAGGGGCTGGGTCTCCTTCCACTGGGGGTCACAGCCTCTGGGGGAGGTTCGGGGAAGCACAGCAATCCTATCTGAGAGGTCTTGGAGGGGATGTCTGGCCCATCTCAGTCATTCTGGATGATTCCAAGGCTATAATGGGAATAAAGGGGGGGGGGATTCCCTGAGGACACACATTTGCAGGAGGAGGGGTGGGAGGGGTGTGACCAGGGAGAGGCCACAGCAGTTTGTAAAGGACCTGAGGTGGGAAGGAGCTGGGCACTGCAACTGGGAGATACGGAGAGGGCTGAGAGGGCTGGAGGGGCTGAGGGACTGTGTGAAGGGCAAGTTTGTCAGATCCAGATGTTTCCAGGATATCTGGAGCATAGGTGGGGCCGTCCTTCCCACCTCCCCTACAGCCCTTTCCCAGGGAGCCTTAATGGTGGCCCATTAAGCCCTAACAGCCATGATCTACTAATAAGCAGGTAATAATTACTAGCTGGGATTCCTGCCTCATCAGCTCAGCCTCTGGAGTCGGGAAACCTGCCCAAGGACCCACATCAGGCCCTGCAGACTCCAAGGTTAAAAACGTGGGCGGCTGAGGGAAGCAGGAGCCCTGGTGCCCGTGGACTCCCAGGTTCCAGGACTCTGCTGAAGGAGAAACACTCCGGACGGGGTCACAGCCCAGGCCCTGCCATGATTCCTAACTACCTCTGGGCTGGCAGGTCACTCCCACCTTGCTGAGCCTCAGTTTGCCACCTGTAGAGACAAGAAGTCCAACTTATCTATTGATTCCACGAAGTGGAAAAAATAAATAAATAAGGTCGGAAGCACTTCCAGAAACTTCTGGCTACCCTCCTCTTCCCTTCCCCATCTTTCCGGGGGGTGGGGGGGGACAGCCGGTGTGGAAGGAATGAAGAAAAGGACCTGCCCCTACCCGCAGTGAGCCCCTAGCCCGCTCTAAACCTCTCCAGAAAGAAGGAAAGGCCGTGGGCGCAGTGAGCTGGAGGCGCCAAGGACTTATTTATCCACCCGGGATCCCATCCCCCTCCTGTCCCAGGAGGCCGGTACCACCCCCGCCTCCGCCCGGCGGGGGCCCCACGCGCGGACGCGGGGCGGGGCCTCGGAGAGGGCGGGGGCCCCGGCGGGCTGGTGTCTGCTGGCCTGGCCCATCACGCCACCCGGGACGTGCCTTGGCGGGAGGCGGCGCTGGGGGCATCGGTCGTACACAGGGCTCCCGGGGCGGGGTGACCGGGCCTGAGCGTGCGGCCCGCCCCCATGACGTCAACCCACAAGGCAGCGCGCTGTTGTGCCGTTTACCGCGCGTCGCCGGGACAACGGCGGCCGGGGTGGTGCAGACACCTTGACCCCGCCCCTTAATGCAAATGAGCGACGTCACCCGTACCCAATGGTGAGCAGGGGCGGTGAGCTCATCGCGCCGGGCCGAGGCTATAAGGGGGCGCCCAAACGGCGCGGCGCAGGAGCCGCCGCCAGCGGAGGGCCGGGCGCAGCGGCCTCGGCCGGGGCGGGCGCAGGGCCGAGCGGACGGGGGGGCGCGGGCCCCCCGGGAGGCCGCGGCCACTCCCCCCCGGGCCGGCGCGGCGGGGGAGGCGGAGGATGGAAACACCCTTCTACGGCGATGAGGCGCTGAGCGGCCTGGGCGGCGGCGCCAGTGGCAGCGGCGGCAACTTCGCGTCCCCGGGCCGCTTGTTCCCCGGGGCGCCCCCGACGGCGGCGGCCGGCAGCATGATGAAGAAGGACGCGCTGACGCTGAGCCTGAGCGAGCAGGTGGCGGCGGCGCTCAAGCCGGCGGCGGCGCCACCTCCGGCCCCCCTACGCGCAGACGGCGCCCCCAGCGCGGCGCCCCCCGACGGCTTGCTATCGTCGCCCGACCTGGGGCTGCTCAAGCTCGCCTCTCCTGAGCTCGAGCGCCTCATCATCCAGTCCAACGGGCTGGTCACCACCACGCCGACGAGCACGCAGTTCCTCTACCCCAAGGTGGCGGCCAGCGAGGAGCAGGAGTTCGCCGAGGGCTTTGTCAAGGCCTTGGAGGATTTGCACAAGCAGAACCAGCTTGGCGCGGGTGCGGCCGCCGCTGCTGCGGCCGCCGCAGGAGGACCCTCTGGCACGGCATCGGGCGCCGCACCCCCCGGCGAGCTGGCCCCGGCCGCTGCCGCGCCGGAGGCACCCGTCTACGCGAACCTGAGCAGCTACGCGGGTGGCGCCGGGGGTGCCGGGGGCGCTGCGACGGTCGCCTTCGCCGCCGAGCCCGTTCCCTTCCCACCGCCGCCGCCCCCCGGCGCACTGGGGCCGCCGCGCCTGGCCGCGCTCAAGGACGAGCCACAGACGGTGCCCGACGTGCCAAGCTTCGGCGAGAGCCCGCCGCTGTCGCCCATCGACATGGACACGCAGGAGCGCATCAAGGCGGAGCGCAAGCGGCTGCGCAACCGCATCGCAGCCTCCAAGTGCCGCAAGCGCAAGCTGGAGCGCATTTCGCGCCTGGAGGAGAAAGTGAAGACGCTCAAGAGCCAGAACACGGAGCTGGCGTCCACCGCGAGCCTGCTGCGCGAGCAGGTGGCGCAGCTCAAGCAGAAAGTCCTCAGCCACGTCAACAGCGGCTGCCAGCTGCTGCCCCAGCACCAGGTGCCCGCGTACTGAGCCCGTGCACGGGGCGCATGCGCGGCCCCCCTCCTTGAGGGACGGGCTCGCGGGGGGGGGCGTGGGCGCCCCGGACTTGGAGAGGGTGCGGCCCCGGCGACCCCCCTACCCCAGGGTGCCCAGGATTTGGAGAGGACGCTGTCCCGGGGGGTGCCCAGAACTCGGAGAGGGCGCCCTGGACTTCGACAAGCTGGACCCCCTGCTCCTTGGGGGGGCGAGCGCATGACCCCCCCCTCGAGCTGCCTCTGTTCCCCGCGCGGCCGCCCCGTGTTGCACAAACCCGCGCCCCGGCAGCCCCTTCGTACACAGCGCTGCGGAAGGGGGCTCTGTGGGGCGCAGCCTCCAGCCTGCCTTTTCTTTTACTTTTTTTTTTTTTTTTTTGCCTTTGGAAGAGAGAAGAACAGAGTGTTCGATTCTGCCCTATTTATGTTTCTACTCGGGAACAAACGGTTGTGTGTGCGTGTGTGTTTCCTTGTGTTGGTTTTTTAAAGAAATGGGAAGAAGAAAAAAATACTACTCATTTTCCTCGCTCTCGCTACCCTCTTCTGTCCTTCCGACACCCCCGTGCCCTTTTTGTTCTTTTGTTTTTGTTTTGCTACGAGTCCACATTCCTGTTTGTAATCCTTCGTTCGCCCGGTTTTCTGTTTTCAGTAAAGTCTCGTTACGCCAGCTCCGCTGTCCGCCTCCTTCTTCCCCCGCCGGGGCCTGAGGGGCTGGGCGGAGCCTGGCCTGCTCCCCTACCCCCCACCTCCTGGCTCCTCCCCTAGTGGGAGGGCGCGGGGAGTGGGCGTCTGGGAGGGGCCTGCACATCTGGCGCGCAGCTAGCGCCACCTAGGCGCAGTGGGGCAGGCAGATGTCAGGTTAGGGAGGGAACATCCAGCTTTTCTGACCCGTGTTTGGTCAGGTCCTTTGCCTTATGGAGAGGAAAGCTTGGGTGGTGGATCTTTCCGGTCCAAGATGGGAGGAGGAAACAGATGTATAACCTTGTGGGCCTCTTTCCCTGTCTGTGAAATGGGTAGAACA